TCATCTCTGTGGCTGTCAGCACTAACCAGAGCCCTGCAGACACGGCAGAATGCACTGCTGCCAGCTCCTGAACTTGCTCGGAGCTGTTAAGCCCCTGAGAATCCAAGTTCTCTGAAATCACAGCATGTAAACCCCACTAAACCCTTCCATGACGACATCTCACCGACCAACCACTCCGTGCCAGTGCAATCCTTTTCCCTGAACACCCACGTTAGGGACATACGAGAGTTTCTCATGGCACTCCACATCTACACAACATTGCCACAGCCACAGGCTGCACAAAGTAACAAAAGATGTGAATGGACACAAATGATCACCGTCCGTTAACTTACAAATATAGTGGAGCTAAACTGTGCTCTGATAGGTGAGAAATATCACAGAAGGCAATGGAAAAACAAAACAAAACAAAACCCAACAAAACAGTTGTAAAGTAGGCAGAGATAAATGATAGGCCGTTCTCTGGATGCCGAGTTAAGGTCCCATACAGTTTTTTGTGCCGCTCATTAATGACTCCGAGCTTTAGCCGCCGCAGCACGAGTCCCTTACCGCGGGGAGCATCGCACCGCCCCTATCGAGGCGATCCGACCACCGGCAAAGCAAAAAGACCAAAGGCACATCGCGGAGCCCACCCGCCCCGCCCGGCCCCGGGCACACACCTGCGCGCTGCCGGACGCGGACGAGGACGTCCCACGCGGCCGCCGCCTCCCGGTCCAGGGGCCCAGCGACCGTCACGGCGCCGCCGTCCCGCTCCACGCGCAGCGGCGATCGCTCGGCGGGCGGGGACACGAGCTCGAACCACGCGGCGGCGAAGGGCGCGGGCGGCAGCGCGGCCAGGAAGGTGCCAGGCCGGGCGTCCTCGGGCACCGCCAGCGCCAGGGGAACGGCGGAGGGCGGCGGAGCCCGGCGGCGGCGGAGGGCGCGGGGCGGCGGGAGGCGGCGGGGCTGCGGCAGCACCTCCAGTTCCAGGGGCGCGCTGAGGCGCGGCGGCCGCCCGCGGTCCCGGGCGTAGAGGCGCAGCGGGATGGGCGCGCGCAGGTGCAGCAGGGAGCGTACCAACACCACGCGCCCGCTGCGCGGCACCACGAAGAAGTGCGCGCTGCTCGGGCGGGCGAAGTAACGCAGCTCCGCGTTGGGCCCCGCGTCCGCGTCCTCGGCGCGCGCGTGCCACACGGCGGAGCGCAGCGCCAAAGTCTCCTCCACGCGGAGCCGCGCGACGCCGCCGGGCGGCCCCCCCCACGAAGCGCGGCGCGTTGTCGTTGTCGTCCAGCACGCGGACGGTGAGCGCGGCCAGCTCGGCGGGGGCGGCTCCGGGCGGCGCGCAGAGCCGGCAGCACAAACCCAGGCGGAGCGCGTAGAGCGGCCGCGCCTCGCGGTCCAGCGGGCGGCGAGTGCGCAGCCAGACGCGGCCCGAGCGGGCGTGCAGCGCCGCCTGGAAGTGAGCGTGGCCCTCGCCCAGGAGCTGCAGGCGCCAGCGGCGGCCCCGCACGTCGGCGCACCAGGGCTCGTGCCCCAGCCGGGTGAGCGGGATGCTCAGCCCTTGCACGCGAGTGCCCGCCGGCCGGTTCTCCGCCACCTGTCCGCCGAACGACGGCCTCCTCCTCTGCGGGGCGACGCGGGACGCGGCCAGAGCGCAACACAGCAGCAGGCAGCCGGCCGCCAGCCCGGCTCCGCGGGGCCCCATGCCGGCTCTGGGCCGGTCCGCCGCTGCGCCGAGCGGCGCGGGGAATGGGCGGGCGGGGCGGGGCCGGGGCGGGGAACGGCCGCCCGAGGGAGAGGGGCGCGCCCGGCCAATCCCCGCGGGCCGCGCCGAGGGGAGGACGCTGCGGGCGCGGAGCCCTGAGGTGCCGCCGCACGTCCCGCTTATCCCGTTCGTGCTGCAGCTTCACCCGGGCGGCGCGGCCTCGCCGCGATCCGAGCCCCTGCGCAACCCGCGGTGCCGTCCGGCCGTCGCACCGCACGCACGGAGCGGGCTTTGCCGCGCGCCTGCAGGAAACGCGTCGTGCTGAGCTGTCGGTAACTTCGCAGTTGTTTCTGAGTTGCAGTAAGCTTTGTGTTCAGGTGCCGGCTGCTCCCAGCGGGTACCGGGCAACGCGGGCTCCTCGAGCGCCCGGCTCCGCGGGACACAAAGGCACGGGGCTGTTCCGATGCGAGTGAACGTGCTGTGTACGTTGTCGCTGTTTGTAACATTTGTAGCTCTTTTCTTAACTGTGAGTGTGATAACCTTTTCCCATCTAATTTTGTGAAGTGAACCTCTAACGATGGAAAACTGAGGACATTTTCAGTATCTTTCAGTACTTTATAACGATTAATTTCCAGTTTTTTTCAGCCACCTGGGAGAACCTTTCCGTTAAGCAGTGTTCTGTACACCAGTCATAAGGTTAGAATAAATGGTTTAGTTATAATAACCTGCAGAAACGGATGTACTTCTTACAGAGCCAGGAGCATCTGAGTAACCCATGACCGAGTTAGAGGAGCCATACACACATAAAAATGTAAAATCTGAGGTGTGCTGCAGTCAATCAAACCAGTTCTCACTGAACAGTGCACTCAGTGCATTGCTTCCCCTGGCTGGTGCCTTATTACTGAATTAATTACATTGATAACTTTGGTGAACAGCTCAAAGATCTTTAAAGGAAAGCTCACCAAAAAAAAAAAAAAAAAAAAAAAAAAAAAAAAAAGTTTTCATATGATAGCTTTTCTATTAGTCAGAACTTTACATGACTGATGTGGGCGAGTTTCTCAGCACCCTGCCCAAAGGGCTGCTCAGGTATGTGCTGCTCCAGGTTCTGCAGTTCAGGAAAGCATATTGCTGCCCACACTGCTGCCCTATCGGGGCTGAGGGCCCCAGCAGCTGCTGACTGAGCGAGACACGGTGCAGCACCTCCACAGAAAGCACTGAGATCTGAGAGGAAGCACGGAGATTGCTGCCTCCATTGTAATGGTTTTGGCTGCTTTACGAACAAGTCACCCTCGAGCCTTACAGAGGAAGGGAAACCTGTCCCTTGCAATCCCTAGGAATATAAGATACATATTTTTCATTACTCTGAGATATTTTACATTGCGTTTTGTGCAGAGAAGAAAAAGGCAAAAAAAAAAAAGGGCATCCCAGTCTCACCTTTCCCATCTCTCCTGATCTAATAGCATTTTGTTCAGTCTGGCTTCCATTTGCTTCTTCTCCTCTTTCTCTCTTTTAATCTCCATGTATGAAACAGCAGCTGGAAGGAGTAATGGAAGGTGAGTTAAAGTGGGTTAACTTAAACCAGTGCCATCTTCTGTTCCACAGGCTTTTAATTAAATGAATTATCAGAACCAATGTTGTTTCATACCTGTGGAAGTAGATTTGCTTCCATAAGCTAGGGCAGAAAATAATTAATTGGAATACAATGAATAGTTCCACTACCAATGAAAAAGAACACAGATCTTGTTCCGTGCATGTATCTGTGTCATTTCCAAAGTGTAGCACAAACTACCAATATCTTAGCTTTGATAGTAAAGAAAGCTTATGTGCTATAATGCAGAGTTTCAGCTGCCTCATGTGGGCACAAATACGTTATCCAGAAAGTGAAAAATAACATGAGGGACATTTGACAGAAAAAAAAAAAAAAAACCAACAGCAGTCATGCTTTACAGTCATGGGGGAAAAAAAAAAAAAAAAAAAAAAAAAGGCTGATGTAAAACAAAGAAACATCAGAGCATAATAAGCAATTAAATGGCATGAATGGCTTCAGTCATGTCAACGGAACTATCGGCACTTCTGTAGTGGAGCAAATTTGTGAGTGACAATCCTAAACTATGCATACATTCTCTATGTGAAATAGATATCCTACATATTATATGGATATGTACACACACACAGGATTTTCCCGTGCTGGAAGCCAGGCATGAGCTCAGGCACCTTACAGATGCTGGGCTGAGCCCTGCTCAGTTCCTGCAGAGCTCCTGGGGCACTGCCTTGACTTTACTTGCTTCAGTAGCAAATCACCACCTATATAACAAAAGAAAAGGTTTGCCTCAAACCTTTCTGCAGATTTGATGGCCCCACATGGGTTACATTCCTCCAAAATATTTGCTGCTTTTCTAAAAAGACAGATGTCTCTTGGAAGAAAGGTAATGAATAATGCTTTTCTTTTTCTCTCATTCCTGCCTTCTACGGTGTGAGGTCTCCTCGCATCTCTGACTCACACCCACACCATTTAGTTTCCAGGCCCATTCTCCTGGATTCTCCTGCATGCAGAAACCAGCACCCTGATGTGGCACAGTGCTTCTCAAAACTGTTTTTGTTGATTTAGGGCCCACTGCTGAGGCTCCTGTTCACACTGCTGCACTGTAGGTCTTCCTCACTACAATTTTAATTCCGTTTAGCAATGAGCGAGCAAGGATTTCATCAAGGAGGAATTCTGGTGCACCTCCCAGCCAGAAGCACCGCACAGCCTGCAGTGCTGCCGTACCTGCAGGTCTGCGCTTGGAATTCCTCGAGGAAGGGGAGTGTTTTGTTTGTCAGCTTTATTCACGCGTGCCGTTCTGTTACTGCTACGACATCGTTTTTAAGGATAGCCACGAAGTTAATGTGAGCATCACTGAAAGAAACATTAATGATGGAGATTAAAACCTTACGGAAAAAAATACGGACTTTTCCAGAGCCCTCTGGTGTCTGAAACCTAAGGCGCAGAACTGCTGAGAACTGCTCTCAAAATTCACGCCTTCAGATTTTTATGTCTTTCTTAGAAGTGAAAATCTCCCACAACGCAGCCGGACGGCGCACATCAACGCCCCGCCCGCGAGGCCGGCCCTCAGCACGACGCCCCGGCCCCGACAGGAGCCGCACGGCCGTTCCGTGGGACTCGCGCGTCCTCTGCTGGCGGCACGGGGTAAAGCAGCAGGCGCGAGGCATCCCCGGCAGCCCGCGTTGCGGAGCCCGGCTCCTCGCGTCTCCACGACGCGCCGAGCCCCGCCCCGCCGCCGTCGGTCGGACCGCGCCGGCGCATGCGCGGTGTGGCGGCTCCGTGACCGTTCCTCAGCCATGGCGGACGAGGAGCTGGCGGCGCTTCGGCAGCAGCGGCTGGCCGAGCTGCAGGCCAAGCACGGGGTAAGGCGCGGGGCCCCGCACGAGCGTTGGGAGGCGTCATCGCCTGTGTGCAGCGGGAGCCTTGGCGGCGCCCGGGGCGACCTGCGGGCGGGGCCGGGCTGGCGGAGCTGCGGTACGGAGGCGGCTCGGCCTGGTTGCTGCCGGGGCAGCGACGCTCGGGATGGAGCCCCGCAGCCGGTTTGGGTCGCGTTAATCTCTAGTAAAATATTTAACCTTCCTGTCCTCTCAGTGACGTTTTTGGATTATTACAGCTTTTTATTCTCGTCTCGTTCTTTAGGATACTTCTGCTGATGCGTCGCAACAGGAGGCAAAGCAGAGGTACCGATGGCAACTGCTGACTGTCACCAGAGTCTCGTCTTATCGTCTTCAACCCTCCTTTCTTTTTAATATTAAGTTTCTTAGCTGAGCTTCAGGTGTTGGAAGAAACCATCAGCAAAGACACTGAAACGTGAAAGATTTAAGTACAAGGGGAAAAAAAAAAACAACCAAAGCAATTCTGTACTTTCCAAAGTAGAAAATGGAAAAAAATAAGTAGAGACTTTTGAAGGAAGTTGGGGTGAGAGCTTAGGGCTTGTATTAACTGAAACACACAAACCAAAACTCCTAGGATACGAAGACTTACTGAAAACTGCTAAATACATAATGAAGTTTAGTTGTGTCCTGCACGTGTATGGACTTGGTGCCTGATCAAACACACACTGCTTTTGGAACTAAATGGAACTGATCACAGAATCGTGACAGCAGCTAGCGTGGTTTGGTTTTTCTGGCAAGATGTAATGAATAAATAAATGTAGTAAGGTCTCCTTACATCTCCTTACTACTCTAGATGTTGTCACCTAATGTAGTACTTTACTGCTGGTGTGTACAGCTGCCCAAGGCAGAAATGCGACAGAAGAAATCATACAGAAGTGTAGGGTTCTTTTCAGTTATACAAATGGAAACTCTTCTGTAAACTTTCTTGTTTTTATGCACATTGTTTCAGGTGTTTGAAATCTCCCTTTTAATGTATCTAATCTCCATTACAGGGAAGCGGAAATAAGAAATACAATTTTAGCTCAAGTTCTTGATCAAGCAGCTCGTGCCAGATGTAAGTATCCAAAAAGCTTTTAAATCAAGAATTCTCACCTCTCACATCGAGAACATACATGCCTGTATAGAGGCCACACTGAAAAAAACTGTTGAGGGAAAAACTAGTTGAGCTTTTCAACTGGTGATATGAGTGAGGGGAGTGGTCAACTGACATCTGAAAGACATTAATCCAGTTCTTCCATGAGTTAATAGTAAGAACTGTAGTGAGTCAATGTTAGTTAATCTAACAAAGAACAAATATTTAAAAGTAAGAAATGCAGCTTTTTCTTTCACCTTTGTCAAAATCCCTTCTTCAGTTTATTCCATCATCCTGGCACAAAGAGGACAGTTTCCTACTTTAGTATCTAAAAAGTGACTGAAGATATTCAGAGTGTGTTTAAAACAAACTGAACAGAGTCTTCTTTGTTGCAGTAAGCAATTTGGCACTTGTGAAACCAGACAAAGCAAAAGCAGTAGAGAATTATCTTATACAGATGGCAAGATTTGGACAGCTACCTGGAAAGGTGAGTTATGTCTTGCTTTTTTTTCCCCTATATTTTCTTGCATATATTCATTTTCAAACTTAACTCCCTCAAAAATATTTAATGTTGTTAATATTCACAGAATTAAATAACTGAAAAGGGCACTTAGTAACTTCTAAAACACTTCTAACTACTATGGTATAATTCACCAGTCAGACACCTTTCACAAAGGAAAATGTGTTTTGTTTGTTTGATACTAAGCTTCTACTTTCTAGGTATCAGAACAAGGTTTGATAGAAATACTTGAAAAAGTGAGTCAGCAAACAGAAAAGAAAACAACAGTAAAGGTAAGTTTTGTTTCCTAAATATAGTTTATTATTATTTTTATAATTGATTATATATGTATGTAATATAATATAGTTACAAGCTCAAGCAGGAAAGCTGCATGTAGTGCACTATTTCAGTTCAGCACAGAACTTTCCTTTGTATTTACCATCACTTCTCTCACCCACACTAATAAATAAGCATTGGGTTACATCCTTAGGAATAGTCTAATTTGCAGCTGTTATCACTGGGATAGCAGTGTTGTGTTGAGACAGACCTGTGCTTTTGCTCTCTCCCATTTTGCCAGGTGGGGACTGGAAGGTTGCGATGGGGTGAAACGTCTGCTTCCCAGTAATAGATTGTCAGATGGGTGGAGTTGGAAAGGCTTTTTCTGTGTTGGATTAACTGTGACCTTGTATTTCATTTTAGTTCAACAGAAGGAAAGTACTGGATTCAGATGAAGAGGATGATTATTAAATACTACTGTAAGCCTGCCAAATAAATGGTTGGACAAAGGCAACAGTTATCAGGCAGAATGCAAAGTCTGAAAATGTTTACGTTTCTTTACTTCTTTTTAAAATATATATAAATATGTATAAAGGCCAACAAATGAACTTGTCTTGTAAAACACACCTGAGAAGGGGATTTTATAACTTAAATTTTTGTAGTATAAGTGGCCTGAGCAGTGTGGAGCTCTCCACTGCTTGAGTAGCATGAAAATTGTTGCCCCTTACTCAGTGTGTAAGCTATGCTTTCAGCACCTGTACACCCTTAACCTGCTGCTATTGGAGATACGGTAACAGGAGAACTTCAGTGTAAAGCTGGGAACAGCCACTCCCTGCAGGAGTTTAAAGGACTTACCTCCACAGTCTAAGTCACAAAAGTGTTAGAAGCAAGGTTTCCTGAGCCCCTGAAGGAAAGCCTCTCAGCAGCTCACAGAGACTCTCAGCTGTTTACTCAAAATTTGTAAATTCAAATTAAAGCATCAAAGTAGCCATTATTTGTGTTTGGACTGGGGGCAGTCTCTATTATAAAGAAACTGTTACCATCATACAATTGAAGTGTTCTCCTACAAAACAATCAGGCTGTCTCAAAAAAAAAAGTTGAAATTAACTGTGTAATTGTAATCCAGCACTGTTCAGACATTTGGCATCGTACATTCTTAAAGCTACCTCCATTTTTATCAAATAGCTGGAGAGTTTCTTAAAAAAAACAATCAGTTTTCCTAAATTTCTGCAACTCCTGCATGCATAAAGTAAAACTTGTGCTGTACATTTATTCAAATACATTGTGCTGATAAACAGTCTACAACCACAAAGCCCTCTTCTGACATAATTTAACATAAACATGTATGATCCTAACTGCAGTGGTTTTTGGAACAGAATAAAACTGTTTAAAGTGAGCACTAGTAAGCGTGTTATTCCTGTGCAAAAAGCATGCCTTCAGCATGGCTTTCTATAGACCTGGGGAGAATTTCTAGGAGTACTCCCTTCAAATCTTATCCGAGTTTAGACTTCAATCATCATGTCTTAGAAAATTAGTATATTTCTTTAATGATAAGCTTGGTCAAGCACATCAGAGAAATCTTTCACTTACCTAAATCATTTGTTAGATGTTATTTGGAAGTGGTCAGGATTTAAGTGCTTTGATACATAAAAATCCAAAATGCCTGGAAGTAAGCTTTATCCTAGACTGAATGCTGAAGTAAAAGTGAAGCATGGTTTCGTCACTTAAGTAGGTTTGGGTTCAACAGGACAACTGTTCAGATAGAACAACAACAGAAAACTCAAGTTAATGAAGCTACTTTTGGTTTTGTGGGTTTTTTGGGGGGGAAATTTTATAATTCATTCAAGAGGAAAGCGTTTTCCAAAGGCAAGCACTAGTATAACACTTGGCCAGTTCCTGTAAAATGAAGAGTGCTTTTCCTGATCAGCCCATCTCCTCGTATTGGTATAACTGTAGTTGTGCTTCATGTTCTACACTTGTGCACAGTCTCAGTAGCACCTGGCACCACCCACAGACATAACAGCAGCAAATAGATATGCCAATATGTGGCACTTCAGGGCATCACTGTTCCTACATCTGTGCTTAGTGACTGCTTAATTGTGGACTATCTCTGCTGTGTATAGCTGCTTACAAAAAGCCAGTTTAAGATCATAGAATCATTTGAGTTGGAAGGGATCTTTAAAGGTCATCTAGTCCAGCTCCCCTGGTGACTAGAACTTCCAGCCTTGCTGAGGTAGTGCAGGACGTCTCTGTACAGCAGGGAGATGTCTACTTGTCCATCAAACAGAGTAAATTTTAAAAGTGAAATTAACCAAATAATTACATAGTCATTTGTATCAAGATGTTGCAGCTCTTTCACTGCTTGCATAGAATACAATGGAACAGTTTATGCTTCAAATAGAACAGTAGTGAACAATTTGTTTTCCATAACCCGTTGCAGTCAAAATTGGTTTTTCAGAGTTCACATCTGCTGATACTTATTTCAAAGGTATTTAATAAACTCACTCAGAACTTGTTTCCACAGCTACTCAACTCTAATATTCTGCACTTACACACTGTAGCATAGTAGCACCAGTATTAAAAAACTATGGAGCTGATTTTTCTCATTCAGACTGTCTAGAAATCTTATCATAATTTAGGTAAAACACATACTGTAATTAAGACATAAGCTAAATTCTCAGTATTTAGTTTGGAAATCAGATCTATGAAATTTTATTTCTATCTTTAACTTTCCAATGAATCTTTAGATATTTCAAGAACATGACAGGCAGGGATGAGCAACGTGCTCTAGGACAACTTTGCAGTGTTGCAGGAAGAAAAAAGACTAACTAGTTCATCTGTTCATCTCTCCACTTGCTCTTCTGGCTTGCTGTAGTTAAGATCAATCCCACCTTTTTATAAATGAAGAAGGAACTTAGAAGTGAAAATGTTCAGTTTCACAGATAATTCTGTATGTAACATTTATATGCCTGAAATCCCAAACCACACAACCTACTAATAGCAATCTGTGAATGCAGAGCAGAAAAGGGAAGAAACTCCTATTGAACATGACTGTAAATTCCAACAGATCCCCTCAATTTACACAGATACAAGGTGAACTCTTCAATGTCTACAAAAACAAGTAAATCCACAAAAAGACGCAATGCTTTAAATAAGCACTCAAAGAAAACAGCACTTTCAAGAATTACTTTACTAGCTTTTTCTTTCCATCTTTTGGCACAAATCCAAGGCACATTAGAAAAGTCAGATAAACTCATAAATTATTAGAAAAATAAACATAAGATCCTCAACTCCAAATGTCTAAATGTGCATTTGCAGCAAATTTTACCTCTTAGATTAAAAAGTTACTTGAAAAAATCACCAGCATGTCCTCCAGCTTTCTACTTTGCCAGGCAGTTTACTAATATTGCAATTAAAACAAACAGCATTATTCATACAAATAAAATGAAAGCTGGATGTGGTGAGCCAAGGATAAAAAAATACTGCACTTAGGAACCTGGCTTGTGCTATGTACATGTTTTGCTACTGTAATCAAAACAGTAGAAAACAAAATCCAAATCTAATCAACCATCTCAGTTACTTGTGAGCTTTTGATCTTCAGTCATCACCTCTGGGAATGATCTATTCCAACAAAAGCCAACTGATGTGAGGGGTACCTTTCAGAAATGGAAGTTCATGGAAGTTCACTTCTTTAAATAACAGTCTGGGTTCAGGCTCTCAAGCAGTGGTTTTGCCTGCAGATGTCGCCCAGGTTCAGAATCACGAATATTCGTGCATTTTTTGAATGGCTAGCTTTGGAGGAAGAAAAAAAACAAACCTTAAAACAATTTTGTGTGTCCTTACGCACTCTTGCTTCTGCGTATTTTTTAATCAGGCTGAACACTGAGTTTACACTTTAGCTTTGCAGAGGCTCTCTACTTCTCCCCACTGTCTTGGCTCCTAAAAAGAAATTGATGTTGTAGATACAGATACTAAGAAATTAGCAAAGATTAGTTCCCTTCATATTATTAGCATGTATATGTCTAACATGGTGTCACAGATGCACTACTGTTTTCTCAGCTACTGAAATACACAGAAAAATTTATGCTATAACAGTTTGTAATATTCGAATAAAAATAGACATTTCAATTACCTCTGTCAATAAATAGCTTGTTATCCAATATATCTTTATGTATATATAAATATATATATATTTGTATATATTTATCCATTGTAGTGGTAAAAACCAAAAACGCGAAAATTATTCAAAGACTTTAAAAACAAAGTGGATGGCTGAAAAAATACAATACAGGGTTTGGTCTGGTTTACTGTTATATATGATTTTTTAGTAAGTGCTACGTAGAACATGAAGGTAACTTTACTGCCTACATACGTCAGTACTTCCCTGTTTGTTAAGATCAGCAACGCTCTGGCTCTGTAGTTACCTCCAAGACAGATTCAGTCTTCAAAAGTTCTAGGAACATTCTGTTTCTGCTGAAGAGTTATCCCTGTATTCTCTTCTGAAGGCATAGCTTGCAAGCGTCACCGAGTTCTTTGATATGCAGCAAAGGGATACTGAAATCCACACCACCTGGTTCCAAAGCTTTTGACATCACATCTGTGCTTCTTCATCAATGTTTGGAAAGCAAGTCATCACAGCAGTCTCTCGATTGTGAAATACTTGGACTTCCAGGGCTGGATAAACTATTACCACTGACACTCTCTGCTGAAAGCGGAACATTAACAGTGTGTCTCCGGTGCATTAATTTACTCCTACAAGGAGTTTCTATCATGTCATCATGTTTCATAAATTCGCCACTGCATTCTGCGTCAGTAATCTTAGCTTTGTTCTGGTCCAGTGTTTCAACAGATTTTAACTTGGTTTTATCAAAGCTTTTTATAGCTAACTGTGGGGAAGGAAAGATGGCATGTCAAAAGCATTGTCTGGTTTCTTCACCACAAACATGGATAATTAAAATAGTTTTGTGAATATAATTATCATATTAATGTCATGATATTGACACTGAGAACACAGTCGAGAATTAGGAATAGTGCACTTTGTAGGACATTTATCATCTTCAGTCTGAATATGTGAAAACAAGAAAAGGCCAACTTGCCACAGCAACTTATCAGTACCAGAACTGAAAAGACAATCAAGGCATTCTAAAACTTATTTTCCAATATGATCTTATCTCTTACAAACATATTTTGTAGTACAGGTCTTAAGTTATTGCAGCAGTTGTTTCTCATACCACTAAGAAATGTGCTGGCAGTTACAGAGACAGGCTCAACTAGACACTGCAGAATTAGGTCCAAAAGCCAAACTGCTACCAGATCTGTCAGGGGAGAGAGACCCCGTGCTCCTTCTTCAAGACTCTTGTTCAGTCACTCCAAGTACTCCTACCTTCCATTTCTATATCTGCCCAACTTTTCTTTTACAAAAAAGGTGGCTCTCCTTGATCACTGGCCACTTTGCCGATTTAAATATAAAAATTAGAAATAAATATTAAAAAAAAAAAAAAAAAAAAAAAAAGGCCAAGCATACTAATGACAGATTTTCTGAGAAAATAATTAAGGGTAGAAAACAATTATAATACCCTTCTGCTGAAATAATGGCCAAAAATTGAAAAAGTTTCAGAAAGTGACTATGACCTGTAAATTTACAGAGCCATGACAGTCAAACATGGTGAATGTGCTATATATCATTGTCACATATTTTCTGTCAGTTGATGTATTTGCATGACATGCTCTCCTTGGTGATTTACAACTATAAAATCCAAATCCCGCATTTAATTAATGGAATATTATCATTAATGCTAGAAAGAATTAATAAAATATTACACTTCTGTGGCATTGATTTGGCATTCTCAATTCGCAAATAATAAATCTAACGAGATCCATGAACTGGAAGAGCATTTCATTTTATAGATGAAGATGAGAGGCAGAGACCACATTTCAGAGACTACATCAATCTAATAATAGACAGCTACTGAACTAACCTGGTAGAAAACTGCTTTCTTTTGAACAGGTTTGTTTTTCTCCTGACTTAGTATGCCAGAAAGGCTCAGCGAGATTTCCAGTAAGAGTCACAGACAGTGCAAAGAAGGAAGAGGGAGTGCATGCTCTGGGGGTAGGGCAGCATCCAGCAGCTATACTGACTGAGGGTGCCACAGTATGCCCTACCACTGATGAACTGACCACACCATACAGCTGTGATACAGCTGACAACGCAACATCCATTTTGCTATCTCCCTTGCAAAAAGTCTCCACCCAGAAGCAGATTTATCAATTTACTGACAAGTTTCTCTCCTGTGAATAGCGCCTCTGCTTGGCAACATCTGTTCCCACAATATATACTTTTTCAAGCATATCCTAGATTTTGCTGGACAAGCAACAGAAAGACAAAAAAATTAAGCCTGCAAGAAGAGGTTTAAGAAATTTAAAAGGAAGTATGAGACATTTAAGAGATGGATAGTAGATAGTACAATTAAGTATGGACAAGGATGGAACATTAGCAATTTAGCAAGCACATCAGAACCTTGGGAATTCGTTGACCACCACTGGTAAAGAGATTTCTCTGTTACACATATCTGTGTTAATATTATATTAGATATATATTATACAAGTAATGTGTTTCCTCTTACCTGGTGCAAGAACTGATAGTCAAAATTGGGGACGCTTTTATCTCTTGTTATTGTTCTCCGTAAATGTTTTGCTCTAAAATACAGTTTAAAGAAATTAAATTTGACGCTTTCATTTAGTCTTTTCACAAGTCTTGATGAAAAACCCTCTAGGTGGCACTATCTCAGCACACAAAGGCAACTATCTGACAGTCACTTTTTCCACAAAAAGACAGCCTACTACTATCTCTTATATTTTAGAATCATAGAATCCTTCGAGTTGGAAGGGACCGCTGAGGCCATCTGGTCCAACTCCCCTGCAGCAAACAGGGACACCACAGCTTGCCCAGGGCTTCATCCAGCCTTCCCTTGAAGGTCTGCAGGGATTGGGCATCATTTTATCACACAATGTAAACTGAAATTTGGAAGATAACAGCCAAAACCCAATGTCTGACTGAAGTATTAAGATATTTTTAAAACAGCTTGGCTCAGAAATTGCTGATTTATGGCATAGCAAGTACCAGTGCAAAAACTGTTGTAAATATATTTGCCAGTACTACCTTCAGAAACCAGCTTTTCCCCTTTCTGCTTCACATCACATCACTGGCATTCACCACCACCAAGTACATCTGTCTGGTGATATTAATGTTTATGCCTCTGTGGATTAACATCTACTGTTGTATCTATCTACTTAGTCATATCTCATGTGCAACAATGCTTGGCCCACTTTTGGGCGTTATTAAACAGTTACATGCTTTGTTTGCTTATGGGAAACAACAAATGTACTTCCACGAAAGCATCTATGCTTACTTGTTAAATCTGTTAATTGATTGGACGAGTTGATGTCTGTTCATGGGATCATCAGCTTTCTCACATGGCTCATTCACTAGGGTTTAAAAGAATAGGCAGCTGTAAGTACAACTTAGTCACAATGAAGAATTAAAAAAAAAGTTCTGAATGAAAAGTCATATTTGCTGACAGGCGAAAAAGCTTTGCAGTAATAACTTGAATCAGTCACCATTTCTCTTTGGAAATTTTAAACCATTTTAAGTTGCAGGAGTAAGCACTGTTAATCAGATTAGCACGACTGGCCAAGATTCTGGAGAGACCATTTAATTCTGGACTTTGAGGCTCATCATTCCAATTTTTACAAATGTGTGTAACTAATGCTTTTCCACCTCTTCATTAATACTTCTTAGTTATGTCTTTTGCTGGTCTTTTAAAAGCTATTCCCATGATATTTGAAATGATTGCATCAGTCTCTGGCAACAGCATATGGTGATAAATTTTATTTTAACAAAATATTTACATTCTTTCCTGAGGAAGCAGATGAGGTACTTCGAAAAGTCTAACTAAAACTCATGGATGCTGAAATGGGCACTTCTGCTTCTCCTTTTCCCTCTGTCCTGGCCATGCAGCTTCAACTGTCTTCTTTCCACAACTGGGGTGGCAGCAGGCCCTTTGCTATGCGGAGTTGTGCAGCTCAGCACAAAACTTGTTACTTGTTATACCCTATCTCCTCTGTTGGAGAACTGTATCAGCTGGGAAATCATCTGAAAAACTTCTGAGCCAGCATAAGGAAGCAGTGGATAAGGACAACAGAAGCAGAGGGAAGGAGTGATGAAGTGATGATGGGCCAGGAGTAACACCATTTCTTTTAAGTGGCAATAAGCTACATCAGCTCAGCTGTACCATCAAACAACACCATGTGTCTCAATATATTGGTTTAGACTGTACTAAATACTCCCACTTACAGAAAAGCATTCTTTTGCAAATCTTGCTTGCTGGCCTAGAAAATTATTTCTGTAGCTTTGATTTCTGTCCCATAATCTCAGAGACAGAATACACTGAAGTATCTGTCTTAGGGCAATGTGGATGACAACCAGAGGTGATTTAATCCCTTCTTCTTTGCACTGAAATGGACGAAGTATTGCATGGTTAATTATATAATCTCAAATGTGCTTTTTTTTTTTTTAGCATGAAATGATTTAGTATGTAAAATTCCCTGCTATGCACCAAAGAAGTGAAAACTGAGTTTGTGAAAGATGTCATATATGTAATTAAAAGTCTGCTGAATTTAGTTATATTATTCTCAGTGTTTCCTGTAAAAAATATTTTTATTTTTATATTTATTTATAATATTTATTTTTATTGTAAAAAAAACAGTTGGCTATTCTTTAATTATATGTAGATCATATTGTCTCAGATTAATTCCTAAATCTCTTTTTATTCATAACAGTGGATAAAGGACATGTACCTTTTCTTCTTATCTTGATAGCAGCATGCTGCTCACATTCCTTTTCTTCCTCTGCTGATGCAGGTACACAGCTTGCTGCTGTTTCCAGCAACTTAATGATATTTGAATTCTTAATTTCAGAAGTTTCCGTTTTCATCAGTGTTGAAATAAAAACAAGGAAATAAAAGTACAATTTCAGAATTACAGTTCATGCAGGTGTGTCAGCTGCTGAAATGAATGTACATAAGAATACCTCTTTATAAATAAAGACTTCATATCAGCTTGACTCTGGACAAAGCCTGTGTTCCACAGGGTGCAATGTAACAAAATGCTTTTGCAGTCTTTGTCTACTATTTCAAATTATACCATTGATGGGTAAGTTCATTTATAATTAAATTGATAATATGTATACTGAAACTGATACAGTACAGAATTTTGTGGCTGCTATTCTACACGTCAGAAGCTATTTAAGTACAATAAGGTAGGAATCATTTAGAGAATAATTCCGTATAACCTAGTATTAATAAAATGAAAGTTGATGACGACAAGATAAAAGATATCAAAAAGCATGAAGGGCAAAACATGGTGGCAAAACAAGACTGCTAGCAGGGTAACTGATTAGAACAGGGTGTTTGTTCTCCTACAGCCTGCATTTCTTCTGCTCTTTCTGCCACTATTCACATTTTCATACATGTATGTGCTTTCACTCTTCCTAGGCTCATCTTTTTTGTCTAGGATTTTTATTTTAAAAGCACTGCAGCTTTCACATATCACAAGTCATGGCACAATAAACAGGCATCTTAGTCTTACATCGCATGTAACTTTTGAGTACAGACGTCTGGGCAATGAAGGGCCAAAAATGCTGCTGTGACAAGCAGTTACATTTGCTCTACATTACACCTATGGAACTTTAGAAAATCGAATGCTGGAAGCAAACTTTCTGCACTCACCGGCTCAGCACAGTCTGCAGGGGTACAGTTCCTTTCATTCTGTATATGTGTCATCGCACCATTCTGAAGCAACAAGTCTACCAGGGCTTCATTCTTCCCTATCACAGCCTCATGCAGTGCTGTATTTCCTTTGGCATTAGAAAGGTTAACAGAAGCTCCATGCTGGACAGCAAAATAAAATCAGAGATAATAAAAAGCAGCCTAAAATTGAGACAGCACGTTATTATTGTGCTTCTCTCCCCTTTCATTTTCTATGTATCAACGAGAACAAAGCAACAACAGCCTTGTAGCTGTATACAAAACCAAAAAGCATATGCTAGCAATCACCAGTTCAACAATAAGCCACCTGGTCACATTATTATTTCCTACTCTCTCATAGCCACAATTTCATAGAGAAACTCATTTCATTTTTTGTGTGTATCTTCTAGATAGGCCAAGTCTAAAGGAGACTTAAACTAAACAACAACACACAAAATGCTAAAAAAAGAAAAAAAAATTTGATACAATCACAAGCAAGAAAATCTGCCATGTGCCACAGAGAAGTTCCTTAAAAGCAGTTAGCTATACAATCGCAAAGTAACATTTATCTCATCAAAATCTGTGAAAAGAGGAAGAGGAAAAAAAACTTTTTTTCTGAGTAATTTTAATGGAGAAAAGCTTAAATAGTAATACTAATCTGAGTCCTAACCAAGCACCAGTAATATATAAAAGTGGTATTTTGAAGACTGTTTTCAGTGATCTTACCTGTAACAACAAGGCAGTAGTCTCATAGTGACCATTCAAGCATGCATAAATTAAAGGAGTATTTCCATATGCATCCTTTTTATTTTGTTTAGCATTATAATTCATTAGACATTCTACCACCTGTTGAAAGAAATAACTTTTCAATTTAAGATACTACCTAACCGCAATCATGCACATTTCTTTACATGCAAAAATCTGTAAATAGAGAATGAAAAAGGGATGCAAGGAAGCAAGAAGATTGAAGAAAACAAGTCTCAGTTTTGCCAAACAAATGACAATGCAAAGCACTAATTCTTATCATACTAGTTTCCATAATTTAGGCCACACAAACCAACTAACCATCACCTCAGCCTTAAGCATCATTAAATTAATTTTAACTGTTAACTGGTTTATCTTGTTGCTAATTTCACAGAAGAGTTTTTTGCTGGTGGCTCTGTGTTAAATAGCTTGCAATTAGAGGCGCCATTACCTGGGAGTGACCTTTCTGGCAGGCTAAATGAAGAGGCACTGCATGTTCTGCATTCTTGGCACTGATACTGGCTCCATGTTTCAACAAGAGAGAGACAAGGTCAGAGTGTCCATGCAGTGCAGCCATATGCAATGGTGTAAAACCATCTTGATTTGATACATTTACACCAAGGCCATTAGCAGGGACCCTTGCAAATTTCTGTTGAGGAGTTCACAAAACAAAATAATTAATTCTGTTACTTTCCATCGACCAAAATGCAATCAAATACTTACTAAGTAAAACACCAAGCAGCTGGACAGACATTACAAGAACTTCAACTACAGAACCTCACTGAAGACTTTACAGCTGGTGAATCAGAGCACCTTCGCAGTATTTTTCAAGTTTTTTTCTCTTTTTCTTTCAGTATGATAGCTCCCTATATAGAAATTCCTGGCAAAGTGTTCATGTTATTAAAAAGGGACAAAAGGTGTGTAGGTTGAGATGGAAGTAAGGCCCAGTGCTTTTTATATAGCTGTTAGGATGCTGTTAACATACAGACACTGGGTGTTAATACTTTATGAGCTACATTTCACAAATACTCATGGCCTGCAGACACTACGTACCTATTTTACTGCACTAGATAATACTTCTAGGTAATACATATAATAACTAATTTTTTTTTTTTTTTTTTCCATGTGCAGGTATCATTGTTCCAGAGCACAGACTCCATGGGGAGTCAAGAAAACTACCTCAAAAGTGGCTTACACAGCAGTATTTGTTTTTACTCCTCTCACAAACTGCATGGGTGCTTAATGTTCACAGTGGTAGATCTTTCATCCTGCCTGTCCTCAGTGTTCTTTAAAAGGTATGCTTAACTAGATCAGTTAACAAATCACTTCTGCTTTTCATTAGGTAAGTAAATGCCAAAGCCAGTGCCATTCCTTCCCCAACATCAGTAGAACTTCACATTCTCCAGGTGTGGCATCTTTAACATATGGTCTCCATATTCAGAAGTGCAAGGAAACAACTTATCAAAGAACAAACCACAAACCCTACACAAAATAAGTGTAAGGTAGCAGTGAGGAATTTAGAAAAACATAAGCCATCTCACATCTTTGTTCTTTATGGATACTTTTACTTCAAAATAGCCAATGCAGTGAAAATTTATAAATTGGTTTATTCTCTAATGATTTATCCAACGATGTACATCTTAAAAAGTAGCAGTTCTTCTTGAAGGGCAAGTAATTGGCATTCTATTTCCAAGCAGCCTGAATCATTTCCTTACTTTTTTTTTAAAAAAAGTGTATTTTAAAACCTCTGTACTCCATGATAAATAAGTCTTTGTACAATTTACTATCATCAGATGAGTTCTGTTGTGGTCTGTACATATTTCATTGCATTTTGGACACAGATACAGAGGTGTTGGTCTATATGAATGCTATTTCCCTTGAGCTAGAAGCTGAATTACATGAACACAAATTATTCTATTTACAGAACGAATATTCCAACCTTTTGTGCTGGCCCACATTTCGAGCACTGGCATAATGGATGGCAGAATTCTGGTTTCAATGTACTGACTGCATCATCTTCATCTTCTAAGTCTTCTTCTGTCCATTCCAAGAGATAACGTACCTGGTAGAAAAAGCAAGTCCTCCTTTATAGATCCACATCCTAACAAATCTGCATATCTGCATTTATACAAGTACGATTTCACAAACACATACTTGTGAATATCACAGGAAGACTACATAGCTACCTCCTGCCATCACTTCCCCTGAGGCAAATTAAAACATCAAATGTTACTGTTGACAAAGCAGCTAGAAAATTCACCAGGTATAGCAGTGAAGTAAATTATAAATGACTTCCTGCTAATCAAGACTTCAACATTCACCTCCGCTCAAACCTTCCAAATCCCTTTAGCTCAGATGATGATTAGATCAAGATTTGTGCCAGCTTGTGTCAACGTGAATTTTGTTTCATCTTTTCCTTTAACAAGCATAAGAAGTGACAAGGATAACAACATTTAATCAATATCCAAGCTTTGCAGGTGCACTGATTTTTCCTAGGTCTGTTACTTCCCAGAAGCTTGACAGTTTTACTTCCCCTCAGTGTATAATGCCTACTTTTTAAGAGAGAGCTTTTCAATGAAACTAGTCTTAGGATTCAGACCGTTCCTGAAGGCTTCGCATGCAGTGACACTTACTGCAAGTTAATTTTAAACTAAATTCTATGCAATAAAGCCATTGAAGAAATACATTTTTACACTGGAATCCATTCATCCAGTGTAAACTAAAGATATCTTAGAATAAGTGAAGGCTCCATTATTGCAGTAAATGACCATATAGAAAGTATAGCTTGTATACCTCCTTGCAAAAAGCTGCTACATAAATGAAACATATTAATCCTTTCTAGACAGATCTTCTACACTGTCCTCAAATACTTTTTTCTCACTGAAGACACAAAGGATTTACCGAAGTGAGCTGAATGTCATTTTCAGAATGCAGAACTGTCATTGGGTCAGTTAATTAAAATAACATTTTACACTGATTAACATAATTATCTCTAATTTAAAATATAATTGCTTTTGAAGTTTGCAGGTGCTATGATAATGACAAAAGTTGCGTTTTTTTGGCTTCCTGAAGAATCAGAGCATAATTATTATTTTTGTTACATCTTCCAGTTCCATGGCACTTTGTTTAATGCCTCCTCTTGCAAAGCTGAACTGGCTGTCAGAGGAGAAATCTACAACACTAATGACCCTTCTGATGCTTTCGTTCCTATGGAGACAGAACTCAGGCTGTCAGAACAAGATAAGAATTTTCAAATGACCCTTTTTTGAATAGATACTCAAGCTGTAGATGATATGCTGATATGCATGCATGCCATCCAGTTGAACAGTTCTCTTTCTAACAAAAAATTTTACATAAACTTGAATAATGTGGAAATAAGGCCATAAAAAATAAGGTGACTCTGTCATCTGAATGCATAAGTTAGATTTCTAAATGCTTCTCACTGACGAGATCTCTTGATCATTGCTAGATATTTATTTTCTAGCAGATTATAACAATATATTTAATTTTCCTTAAGTATTTTATGATAGTTTAGATTTTGACAAAATCTGTGAAGAGTTAATTGTAATACAGTCTTGTTCACTATTTGCTAAGGCCATAGAAAATATCACTGCCGGGTATATTGCTGCTTCTTGAAAGGCCTTAAGGGCTGACTTGGAAATAATTGCTAAGATTAAGCTATGCCATAAACTAGAACAATGACATTTACATTTCTTCCCCATGATCCTTTCCTCTATCTCCAGATAAATAAATTCCTTCTTATCATCAAACTGGGACAAAATACATGAGAGAATCAGTATTAACACTGTATATATTTTGCACTGCGCTTTATCGCTTTATTACGACTGCGTGATTAGGATGTGAAACTCCCAAAATACATATCACCGAAATGATTGTTTCAGAATATGCCTCCTGAAGAGAAATCCTGCATTCTCACATAGGTTCATGCTTTTGTCCCGTGAAGTACAAAACAAATCAGAAACATCCAGCCTTATGTATGTTTTGAAAATATAAAACTTGTAAAAGTTTTCTAAGCAACGCCTTCAAGTTTTCAATGGAATGTCATTGGAAACATCTTATTTTTCAAACTTCTGGTCATAAATGGCCACAGCAACTCAAAAGAACATCAAAACAACAAGTATCCCAAGCTACAGGACACCAGCCCTGAATCTGATACTATTATAAACATCAACTCATCTACTGAAGAGAGATCTAGACTATAGAAAAGTTGTACGCTGCTAAGGTAACTCCTATTCTGTAGTGACTGCTGTCACAAAAGGTTTCGTTAAGCATAAACTATAAATAAAAGTGTATCACAACAACCAAATAAGGGCCCACTTTTCACTTACACTGCTTTACACTGCAAAACAAAGAGCAGACAACATTCAAACCATTAGATAATGCAGAAATGCAGGCATGTAGCCATACCTGGTTAGGCATGCATTTTTAAATAGCAGTATTTCATAAGGGACAAAATTATTTAAAGTGGCCAAAATAGAAAATAAAAGAGGATTCTAAAATATACAGAAATACAAGATGCTATTCATGTAATGCCCCCAGAAGATTACCAAAGTCAGTATGTGCAAAAATCACACTATGAACCTAGGGAGCAGCAAGAGCAAGAAAAACCATAAAAATTAAACACAAATAGCAACCTTGTATATCAGGAATATTGGGATAAATAAAGACGATTCCACTAATACTAAGCAAGCAGCAAAATTCCCTTCCAACTCCTTGGATTTTACTTGTTATCTGTTCTACCTCTTCCAGCACACTGGAGTGTAAAGCTCTGTTATGTACGCCATAGCCTGAGTACAGGGGGTTAATGGGATAACAGTGGTTTCCTGTGCACACGGATTCATTTTTCAAGGTCAATTTCAGCTCTTGGAAATCATGAAAATTTCTTGTTCTTTTCAAAAACTGCTACCAACAGAATTCTGATGAAGATGACCCAGTAATAGCTCTATCAGGTGTGACAACTTTTTTTCCAAAATCATAATAGTGCCCCAATAAATATCATTAATGTAATATAAACCTGCAATTAAAAGGAGTATATTTAATTAAACCAACAGCTCCCATTTAGGTGACACTATGTTATACTAACCAAATTCATTTCTTCACTGAACGGTCATGAAAATGTCAAAATAATAGCCCTCAAAGCACTGTAGGTAAAATGATTTGAGAACATCAAGTGAAAATTCTTGGTAGAAAACAAGCTCTACATGATTGTTTCTGAAGGAAGATACTAAGTGAAGCATTCTTACCTTATTATTTACAAATAACTTCCTCAATTTGAATGAGGTAAATTGGAATTCAGTAACATTCAACAGCCATTTTAGGACTCACCATTTCCAGATCTCCATCAGCAACTGCTCTTAGGAGTTTTTCCACCTATGTATGAAGAAAATTCATTTGCTTTGTTAGTATTCAGCTGCGCATGGAAAATCCTGTCTCTCTTACCAACCCCTAAGCTAATGTAGATGGGTTAGTGCTGGCCATTTTATATTTGCTAATGAAGTTTTAAACAAAAAAACACCTTCCTTTAAATACAAATAAATACAAAAGCTGTGAATTCACAATCATTTGGAGATCAATTAAAGATAAATAGTAGTTACCTAAATAGAACACAAGTTGTCCACATATAGGGAAAGCCATATAAGCTGCTACACATTACTGCACTGCTTCAGCAGCAGTTGACAATACATTACTGTTGTGAATTTAAAACTAAAGAAAACCTTATGCAAGTGAAACTCCTGCCCTGATGACAACTACTGCTGTCTGGGCTCTTGTCAACTTCAGCAAATTATTCCAGCACTGTGCCAACATCACCAAAGACACTGCTGTACGAACAAAGTTGTTTCAGTTGAGTTCAATCTCAAGTTGAATATATCATGGAGTAACAGCTAGACCTGCATTGCTAGACCTGCATTTCAATCTTTATCTAAATATGATAAAGACTGCTCATTACAGCTGCATCTCCACACATTTATAACAAATGCTCAGCATGCTGTACAAAAGGGTATAACTGATAGCAATAAAATACTTTTACTTCTCACTGTTCCAGAAAGCACGTTATCAGGAAAACTCCTTTTAGAAAGCATATATGACAGTATCACTCAAGAGAGGCACTATTATTCGTGCAACAGAAATAAACTGACACTCCTTGAAAGTGCACAGCTTTACTTATGTTACTAATGGCAATTAACACACCAGTAACATCGAGCTTATGTTTCATCACTACAGTACTTTAAGTAGTCTTCACTTTTCTGAAAGGGTGGGGAAAAAAGGAATTGTTGACCTATTCTAAGTTGACTACTATTAGATCTAGTTGATCTACTACATTCTGGGAAACAGAAATATTTATCAGAAAGCTGTTAGCAAGATAGAAAGTTTTTAATTTTTAAAAGGCATGAACGTACATAAAATGTTTCTGATTAACTCTTCATTTTGTGCATGAACTATCAGCCCCTTTCCATAGCATTTCTGGAAGGAGTTTTATTATTGTTTTATGCCAGGTTACAAATACAAGTAAAGTTAAGAATCTTTAAATTATGTTACATTTGGATAAACAGAATGGTAATGTCAGCCAAGACAGTGCTAACGGTGGATGCGGAGCGGTGAAAGACTGCAAGAGCAGCAAGTGACTTTTAAGGATACTTCAGAATTCTCTGCAGCTATGTAAAGTAGGAAGGGAATCTCAGATGGAAGACAAGCAGGTTGTGAGTGCAATATTTGCTACAGCAAACATGGAAGAATGAAACTAAAAGGAAGTCATATTTCACTGGTCTGATCTCCTTCAGGGTTTTATCAGAACAGGACAAATCTTGTACAGACAAAAGAGGCTAAATAAAATCTCTCCACCCCTTTTTATTTCCTTTTAGGAAAGCTACTAAATTCTGTTCTTCCACATTACTACAGTTCTAGTATAAGGTGAAGTTCCTTGAAGTCATGCACTAGGCCCTCAAGGCAGCATTCTTTTTACCCAACTTACAATGTCTAAAAGCCATCTGTATAAATCTAAACTCCCTCCCTGGTACCTGCAAAATAGAATGCAGACAAAAAACACCTGAGTACAGCTGAGCTCAAATTAAGCATCTAAGATGTCTAACTAAGATGTCTAACTAACAGGAGAAAAACAGGCGACTAAACTTAAGACAATTGTCTTTCAGACATGTGAAGGCAGGTAAGCTGTATCCTCTGCATATGCACATCTAAAATGGACCAAATATATTAAGAAGATCTGTACCATCCTTAAATTTCCCTAGCACAGTTCCCTAATCATACAGAATAATGTCATCACAGAAGCTCTTAATGATTTTCAGGGATCAGTCTTATCACATATAAGATACCTAACAGGAATAGCAAGTTACCCACAAGCTCTGATAATTCCTTTCCAAAAACAACTTCCTTAGAGTTCTAAAAACTGCCCCAGGCCTTAACAGTGAAGAAATACATAAATCTATTACGCAGCTTATGGATTATTCATTAAGAGTACTCGGGCTAAAATGTTTGCTTCATGCATTCCTCCATCTTCCCAGCTTGCTTTCTCATTCCTCTGTGGAAGGTAAGTACTCTCCTTTAAATGTAAAAATGAAAGAAACAAAGCCACTTGATGAAGTCTACTGTAACTTATTCACATACTCAGCTTTTCTGCTGCTGAATAGAAATTGTACTAAGAATTATCAGTTCCAACAAATGACATTCCAAATTTACATATCTAGCTCTTTTTCTTTTCTAAGTTGTAAATGAGATGCTCAAGGCTATATGCCATAACCAGCAGTAATAAAGACCCCACTGCATTCCCTTAATCCATGATCTAAGCCTTGAAGTCTGAAAAACTGATCTTATCAGTTTCCCATTACTTCCGGTGGCATTCCCTTTATGAGGAACTCTCAGGATTAGGCCCTTGTCTCTTTGCTTAGTAAGAATAACAGCAGTGAGCCCATTTGAAACCTGGCAAACAGAACTGACCTAAAGCTGGATTACAGGAAGAGGTCATTAACCCCAAGAATATAAGGTGTAAGCTGCTTGTAATCTTTTCCCCTGGTTTGAACTACAGTCTTAGCTCTCATGAGCGATAAATTTGTTCCCTCAAGGAAAAGCAAATCCTCAATCTATCAGGTAAAGTTTTACATACATTAGAGCTCATTTACAGAGCCTGTGTGCACAGAGAAGTACACTCTGACATCTAGGCTCTCACAGGCTAAATAGATACCAAAGTGTGAATTAATATTGTCCTTTTGGCAAACTTAGATGTAAAGTTTCCTGACGATTTTTAGAATGCAGGAAGGTTTGGAAAGAGGAGAACATTATAGCAGAAGGAATGCAAAGAATTAAAATGCAGAAATGATATGGACGGAAACAAAGACACTGTGGAGATCAAATTGGAAAAAATGGAACAGGAAGATAACGAAATACAAACAGAAGTATCAGAAGGAGTGATTACATGACAGCCTTGGGAGGGCATAAATCAAAAGTATGGATTTAAGGTCCCAAATGAAGCAAAAAAAAAAAAAGAAAAGAAAAAGGATATTTTGAAGAAGCAGTTTAAAACAGTCCTACACAATATTGCTCTTCCTAGGTTCACTCACGTTGCTTTTACCTCAGTCTTACCTCTTTATAACTGTTCTTCACTTCATCTTGCCTTACATCAATTGATGCTGATGACAAACTAGAGACAGATGATCCTCTGCTGAAAGTTTCTGTTGAGTGCTGAGGAGACCTAAGTGGTGACTTCAAGTTGGGAAAAAGAAAAACAAACAAACAACAAAAAAAAACAGAAAAACTTGCATCAGATTAAGCAGGTTAAATGTAAGAAAAAAAAAAACAATCTTTAGTGATTTCCATTGGTTGTTACCTCAGAAGCACTCTGTCCCCGCTCAAAGGTTAGATAGTTTAATTCCATCAGTGACAAAATCTGCATAAAAATATTAAAGAAAACCAACGTAACTCCACCAACCAAAACATAAATTAGCTGACAACGTAATATTAGTAACAGATCACAATTGAGCAGATTAAAAGTACCAGTTTACAAATTTATGTTCTGTACTACTGAGAGATTGCATTCATACTACTAGATTTAAAACACAACCATTTTACCTCAAAAGCAAACATACGTTTTAACTTAAATAGTATTAAAGTACAAAATCTTCTTAACAGGTAAGCAGCCACATTTCTGTGGAACTACACTGAAGAGAAATGAGGCTGGAAGATAAACAACAGTACCTTGGAATTTAATGCACACTGCAGCGAAGTCTCTTTCATCCGGTTTTGAGTATTTGGATTTGCCCCATTTTGCAAAAGCACTTCTATGATCCCTTGATAACCCCAACGAGCAGCTATATGGAGAGGAGTATCTCCCTTTTCATTTCCAATATCTAGTCTACAGGAATGCACATCATAGTAGACTAATGCTTTAACGCACTGGAAAGAAAAGGAAAGCCATTAATAAATTATTGTATAGTCTCCAATTCATATAACGTGCAATCCTAAATGGCTTGTTTTCATTCCTATATATTCCTATATATATTTATTCCCATTCCACATAACCCATTGCCTAAAAGACAGGCTCTTATACTTGAGTGTTATTTGATTTTAACTCTTTGTTTAATAACTAAATTAGCACAATATTATATTTAATGTGAATGTATAATTAAAATTGTTATGAAGTACTGAATAAAGTCTTAATTTACAGCATTAAACAGTTACCCTCCAATTTATTTTCTTTTTAAAACATGGAAGTCTAGTGCAAACTGGTATCATGGTTTAATTCCTTTCCACTTAGATGTCCACTTAGTTTATTACAAAACAATTACTTACATCCTCATGACCATAAGTGCAGGCTAAATGAAGTGGAGTATTCCCATTATTGTCCTGAACATCAGTACTTGCCTTATAGTGCAATAAGAGAAGCTTAGAAGAAAAATAAAAGCAGACATATAAATAACTTAAAAATTAATACAGAAACAATTGTTACTCTGTATATTCCTTTAGGTTTCTAGTATGATGAAACGCTTCATGAAGAACTGTCTGTCCCTCCTGCTTCCAATACTAACAGTCCCTTTTGGCATTACAGTATTTCTTTTTCTCCCTAATCCAAGAAACAAATAAAGCTGCTGGTTACATATTCAGATTTGTCCTTGAAAAAATGAATCATTTACTGCAGCAACACTGCAATACAGATATCACACAATCATTTACCCCGCACATTAGCGGTCTATAGTGGTGAAGAGATAGAATTGTTTAGGCCATGGTAACTCAAGGATTTCACATATACAAAATTCAAATACACAACATAGGCAGTCTATCCTAAACACAATTTGAAGAAATTTTATTAATCCCAATGACTGCAATGGCTCTTTTGTCCTAGCCAAGAGCAAAAAGTTAACAGGTTGTCCACTGATACTACATATCAGAGATTTGTATTAATCAAATGGGTTAATTCTCAGGCATTCACAGCTGTCAATTACTTGGTTATTATGAACAGCAGAAAACCTCCCAGTAAAGAAAAACATAAAATATAAAAATAAAAATGCTGAAAGATCCTCAATTCTGACAGCACGTACATGTCTTGAAAAACCTTCTGAGAAGACCTAAATGACTGTAACAGTAGAACAGCTTACTAAGAGTCAGATATCTATTATTTAGGTTAAGTACTTGCTTTTATTTCTAATTAAGCCTTTTAGTGCTTACTGTAACGTTTTGATATCCCTTCTGACAGGCAAGGTGAAGTGGAGTTGAACCGTGGTAATCTGTAGCATTGACAATGGCTCCTTTGGCTATTAGTAAATCCACTAATGATGTTTGCCCTTGGAAAATACACAGTCATTAGAAAAGAGAAGTAACTTTCCTAAAGAACATTGCTACTTTTCACATTCAAACATGATAACCTCCATTTCTGCATGCTATCCTTCTACATGCTGTATATTTACTTCCCACTGGGTATTTTCTGTTGTAAGTTACACGTGGTCAAGACTCTGCAAAAAAAACACCAGTTAAGAGCAAGTTTTGTATTCTGAGTAAGAAAATAAAGCTGTCACACAAACCTTTCCTATGTTAGGACTCAAGATAATAATAAAAGAATGAAGCTGGTTAAAAAAGGAAGCACGAAGAAAATTAATTCAACTTCTAAAAAATTGAAGATCAATGGTACAGTGAACGTTACAAGACAGAATATGGTACAGGATCTACCATGTACAGCCAGCTACAGGAGAAAGAAATTATTAATTTCTCAATCTGCAAGTTCTTTAAAAACACAACTGGCTTCTGATGAAATTGTAACTTTTTTCACAACTGAAGAATGAACCATGGGAGGTAAAAGTAAACCGCTGGCAAACAAACAATAACCTGCCCATAAAAAACTTAAAAGAGCTTAAAAGAAAATGCAGCAACTTCAGCATAGACTGAGATTACAGTTCTCATAGCTAAAAACACTTCAACATTAAATTCACTGTATAGTGAAAGTTGGAAAAGATCTTAACAGGAAAAAGCAGAACATAAGAAGGTGAAAACATTAGCAAAGAAAACCAATGAGACTCACCACAAATAGCAGCTATATGGAGTGGCGTATATCCCCGGTCATCTCGGGAAAATGCAGTGACAATTGAAGGATCATTCAGTTTCCTATAAAACACAGTGGTTTAAAAGCAGCTCAATTACCTATGCAGCAGGGTTAATGACGAGATGAAGAGAGAGAAACCGCCAAGGCTGAAAGAAACTGATGCTGGGACTCCTTATCCTTTAACTTCTCGCGCTAGTCTATCCAGTCTTTTAGGTCTTCTGAGAGTGTTTTTGTCCATGATGTGTAAGTTTTGCTCAAGAGAAGAAACATTTCACATCACACTTACCAAAAGATATACAGCCTCCATCACAAAATCTGCCTGGATCCAAGGCATTCAGTACCCTAATATTTCTTCTGCTGTTTCAAATTACATGAACATAAGCTCTCTATTATATCCTGAAGTGCTACCAACATCCTAAAGTAAATCTTAGATCAACACTTCTTACATAGCTTTTCCTGCATTTGCAGAGATAAAAAGTGCTTACCCAGAAACTAGCTTCTCACATTTGTCACAGTAACAGAGCGGATGACACATTTTTTGTACAGTGTCCTTATCACTGTCACCTTGACTTAGTAATCGCTCCACTTCCTCCTGATTACCTGAAGCAATATGCTACAAAAAGCCAAGAGAAGAAATAGGATGAGGAACTGATGTGAAAAGCCATCCTCACAAAAATTTAGAAAAACAATTTACCAAAGCACAAAAACAAAGAAACTGATCATGAATGACACATACTCAACCGGTAGAAAGCAGAAATGAACAATGTCACAGAACAAAACCCTTTAATGGGCATTCAGCATTAAAAATTATCTGTTCTTGGCTTACCTCGCTTTCTATTAAAAAAAATTAAAACAATTAGACTCAGTCACAAAATTGAGCTGCTCTGTGCAAAACCATTTCTATAAAATTACTACGTCTCTAGCCATAAGCAGCAAACACATATAATCAGAAGCTCTGTTTTGTTTCCTTGTTCAAGGAAAATTCTTCTAGAACAGTTAGAGATAAGCACATAACATGAAGTAGCTATCAGGTGACTATGTTTAAGTTATTTCAGCAATCTCTTAAATTTTAAGCACTAAAGGTAGTGAGACACAAGCAATTACTAGCATTACATACTTGCTTTAAATGGACTGATCAATACCAATAGCAGTAGCATTTCATTGTTGTCTGAGTCCATATTTCTTAAGCACCAGAATTCATACAGTCATATTAACTTGGTAACATTTCAGCACAAAAACACAAACATACTTTTATCAGCTACTAAAACACATTTTGCAGAACAAATATAATTAACGCTGTGTCACATTTCAGAAAATCGCACAAAGGACAGCATATAAATATGAAATAAGTACATATGTAGTTCTGCCAATAAAGTTACCTTAAATAAGCAATCTGTTGGAGTAGTAGACATCTGGGATAAAAAGTTCATCCTTTGTTTTAAAAGCAACTTGTCATACAGCCTGTCAGATTCCTGAAGACAAAATACGTAAATAAATTTCCAAAATACTCATTTACAAGTAAAAATTACAAGTTACGGCCAGTAAAAAATTCAGATTTTCTTGAAATTTCATCAAGTCCCAAAATCAACACCTCTCTTGCAATGCTGCCTAAAAAAATCCTCTGTTGTTAAAGCCAATAAGGTTAGAAACATCTGAGAAGTCTACAGAGATGAAGGTTCAGTATTGTATTTCACAGTATGTTATCTACAGAACTTTTTTCAATACTTCAAACGTTGACGTTTTAGAATGGATAAATAATCCAAGACTGCAGTAGAAACCGAGCAGCTGCAACCTGGATGTGGATCTGTTCTCCATCACAATATTAAAACCTCCTTCCTAAAACACATGGTATCTTTGTAAACTCAGTAGTCAGTCAGTCTGTACAATCTTAACATGTCTACATGGTCATTTGGTTGTATGTTTATAAGATCACCCTTCCTAACACCGTAGCTAATTTAACTGACAGCTTTTAAAGCCTCAACTATTTGGGAAGGCATGCTGTGTTCAGCTATTTATGCCATTTGTTTTGCTTTTTCTATAATAACAGAAGAAAAACTGTTAGCTTGGATTTCACCTTGTTAAGAACAAAAAGTTGTTGGCTGATGTGAAATTATTTTCATTGGTTTTGAATTTAGAGACATACAGTTTTTCAAATCTAGGCACTTCAGCTAAAGATACCCATGTCCATCTTCTCAGAATAATAGAAGTACGTGAGCACTGATCGCCTTGGATAGATTCTTACCTGTGATCAGAAATAATTCCGTTTAAAAAAAAAATTGATCAAAATCTTTATTAGCTATGAAAAATTTTAAAGCTTTAATACTCAAATCACTGAAGAATTTCATTAGCTGCTTGCATGCTTTGTATTTTATAGAGAATCTCAAAAAGCAGCTAAACTTAGCATAGCTTTAATACTGTCCCTTTCATGGTGCGTTTTACATGAAAAGCATTTCAAATATGGAAAAAAACAAGGAGCTATTTAAGACAGTAACCCTTATGTGAAGAGATATGTCTGTCATTTTATTACATGAGTAAGGAAGAAGTCCATTACAGATGAAGCTACATATTTATAAATAAGAACTTGAAAAAAAGCAATGGCATAAGAATCAGGAATTGGTTGAAATACCAAAATAAGTCCTTCAAAGACAAAATTGCTTGTAGCAACTTAACTTCCACTCCAATAATTAAAATAAAGCTTTGCTTAGAGTGGGAGCTCTAAGCTCAGCTGTTTCTAAGCTTTATTTAACCTACAACCAAACATTAATGATGTTTTTATCTGATGCGATTCTTTATACAAAGAGATGCATGCACCCAAAGAGGTTGCTCTATACAGCAACCTATCCAGAATAATTCCACCAATAACCATTTACAGCTTGTGAAAACTTTCTCTCCCTCTTCAACCCACTCCCTGAACCTTATTTACCTCAGCTTGTGTTAGAAACTTCCCTACCTGCCCTCCTATATGCACTTCTTCAGTTCCAACTTCAGGGCCACCTACAGCTCTTTCCATTCAAGAGTCTAAATTCTACCTATTTTCTTGTGCACAGCTTCAAGAAAGTCCCTGTTTCATACCCACCTTCAACTCTCTAAATTGGGTCTTACCATGCAGTAGCTGTACACAGGAATTTAACAAGGGTCCAACACTTATTAGACTAGAACCCCATTAAACAAGTTTGACCAGCACCAGAAACAAAATGTAGTCCTTCACACTATCAGTTGCATGTTTCTGTCCTCCTTTTGACCCACACTGAAAGTGTCTCTCCAAGGCTTGCATGATCTTTAGCAAAGAACTGGGTAAGTTTTTCTTAAGTGCAATTTTCTTTCTGACATTGAAGATGATATACCATTATCCCACAGGGTACATTAGCTCCCTGTGGAGTTCTCCTTCTGTAGTTGGTTTCATTAGGGATTGGACAAGAGCATTAGTCAGCCATCAGAAACGCCATCTGAAGCCAACTATAAAATTAAACATAGCCACATGAGGAGCTGCAATGAAGGCCCAGGGCACAGCAATGTTCTTGCTCAGAGCCTGAAACCTTTCAAGCACAATCTGGAAATAGAAGCCATGGGACATCAATCTGACAACTGCTGCTTTTAAGCAGAAAGCAGATCTCCTTTAACACAGAATAAAGGAAATACCTAAACTGCTAGGTTTCTGAAGAGAACGGAATTGTCAGAAGTTTCTTTTATGTTCATCCATCTCCTTACTTTCTTTTTCAGTTCCCATGGTGGGGCTATCTGCTACAACAAAGAAGCAGAAACTAGGTGTATCACCTTTCCTTTCTACCTGCAGTAGGGATGATGGTCTTTCCTTTTAAACTGTGCTAGAGACCATGGGGTGACTCATTTCCTTGTCTTCAAGACTCCTGTTCGCCCCCCTCATCTAGTATGCTGACTGCTGTGATAGGAGGTGTGGAGAATTCCTGTTGCTTGCTCATACACACAAGAGAAAAGGCAGAAAGCAGGGAACTTGCAGTTCAAGTCTGGAGATGATCCAGCTGAGATATGGAAGAAAGCTTGCTCTTCTGAACACTGTATACTGGTGCAGACACTTAAGTTGCATAGGATTGCCCCCATACAGACTGAGATGTAGTTCATCTTTCAAGACAAGCTCCCAGATAAATAAGTACAATATCTTACTGGCAGTGACACTTACCAGGAAGTTATAATCACTAAGGGCAATTCCAGTTCATAAAAAAGGAAAGCTAGCCTTAGCTGTGTAAGAAGAGATAGAAGCAGGCACTTAATCAGAAACAGTTTTTATTTTCTTCAACTTGCTGATATTTTTGTGGAAGATAATTCCACTTTGGCCTCAGTTCTCCTTCTAGACCATTAGCACTGCTATTTTTGTATTAATTATTAATGTTAGCCAAGTGACTGCAGGAAGCAAAATTGACTGGCAAGTTGTTTTCCTTTTAAACTAACATTTTTATTCTTTTTTTCCTTAACAATTTGAAACAACACTGCAAACATGTAGTACCATAATTTCTTTACACATAAAAAGGAAGTGGGTTTTTTTGTGTACAAAACCAACACATGCATGACAAATTCATGGAGAGAATAACAAAAAACAAAGCCACAAATAGCAAAATGACTAAAATGATAGTTAAGTGTTTAAGATTGTGCCCCAGGTTGTCCCATTCCAAGCCCTGCACACTGAACCATTAGTATGGCTCCTGCAATTACATTCCAGTACTCTGCAGTTGGACAGACTGAGACACATCAAATTCATTCCAGTTCTGAGTTAGCTACTTTTGATTTCTATAACAGTGCATGAAAAAAAACCATTTTGCAATAGTAGACTTATTTTCTTTTGAGCAGAAGATTCAAGATTGAATATCTTTAATAAGCTAGAAAGTTTTCAGAGCACAAAAGTTTCTAAAGTCACATCAATATCATCCTGGATCCCCAAAGAGATTAGACCTGATTGACAGAAGGTCTAGCTGCAACAGATCCACAAACTTCTAGTCCCTGTGTTAGAAATCCTGAGAAACAAATTTGACCTTCAAGCACTATCTAATATGATACAGTCCTGCACTCCCACTAAATTATCAACTTTGTGTAATGGAGTTATGTGCACCTCAAACACTTTTATTTTTAAAGAACTTCAACTGCAGTGTAATGTAAAATTATCCAGTAAATCTTCATTCTGCTAGCTAAGCTTTTTAAAATTTCAAGAAAAATGTGTTTAAGTTCAAGCTATGCCTACTATAATGTACTGCATTGCTTTCACAACCACAACAGAATGAAGACAGAAAGTATTAAAAACTTTCTTAAAATTCAGCTCTTGAAGAAAAAAAAAAAAAAAAAAAAAAAAAAAAAAAAAGGATGTCATTGTTCCTAGTTATAATGAAGAGACGCATTTACTTCAGATTTACCTACTCCTTCAAGTGTACAGTGAGCATGTGTTGCTACAGGACTGGCACTTCATTCTAACATTTTAGCTTCTGCTTCAGGCACAGCTGCCTCCTAACCTTCGAAGGGTGAAAAATGAACTTGTTAGCTCTTTGCTTCTTCTGATTGGATTTACCACAACAGTACATAGCTGTGCACCCTTATCAAAATCACATTTGACAGACTTTAAGAGTAGCTTACTGTTGATCTGTCAGAGAGGTTGCCTTGTCGTATGTATTCTATTGCAGCCTCAATTGAGGTTAGACAGTATCCCAATTCATCCTTCACCGAACTGCAGAGCCTGAAGTTCTTGATGTAACTCAAGTTGGCCATCCTGAAATAAAGTTAAAACCATGAATCATTAAAGTTGACACCAACATGTCATACTTTAATATCACGGGTCATTTCAGACAATCCAGGCAGATATTACACGTGAGTTAAGAAAAACTTCTAGAAAGATTGGTAGGCTGGCATTATCATAGCTGTTATGAGCTTTGCAGAAGGATCTTAACACTTCAGTTCTTCATCATGAGATACAAAGTTAAAAACTAGATATAATAAATATGAAGGACAAGGTAAGGACAGCAGTAAGAAATAAGGTCTCACAAGTTTCAAGCATCATAAGTACCACATTAAATAAATAGCATCTGATATTTGGGATATACCAACCCTACTGTCCAGATAAACCTGAAAGGTTTATACATACCTTTCCCAACAGATGAAATAACCATAAGAGCATATGCTAGCAAGCAACTAAGCATTCAAATCACATTTCTCCATATAACATATCTCAAGCATCTAGAAACTGCATAAAGTTTTGCAGTTCCAATGCAAATGTGGATGAACCAGCACTAAGTCCACACCAAACATGCAGATCCAGTAAATGGAAGATTCCCCCATGACAACAGATTTCCTGATTTGGAATCAAAACAAACAACACTTGAATTCTGAGTAAGTCCTGAATTCTGTCACATCTTTGCTGTTTATCTGACTAGTTTTCTGTATCACATTACCCCTCTTAGACTTTGGGTAGGCTATTACTAGAAACATTTGACCCCACTGCACCATTATATACAATATGATAGAGCTTTGTACAGCCAAAGTAGTTACATACCAGTTTGGGATTTCTGTTTTTACAAGTAAATACAGCAAGACAGAGAGTAGATCATCTGCACACATGGTTTCCATGTTAACTAAAAGAAAGAATTTATATCTGATATTAGTAATCTCACAGTTCAAACCAAAACTAAATGCCTATAAATGTAGCTCTGCCTTTTAAGACTAATGGTCAGCTCTCTCAATTGACTAGTAACCAATGCAATCTTTTGAAAGTATGTTCTCAATCTCTCTCTAAAAATAGACTCCCAGAAGCCAAAAAAACAAATACAGCTGCAATATTTAATTAGTATTCCCTCCTTCTTCACTGGAGAAGTCAGAACAGTGGCTTGAAGGTGAACACTGTCCATTGACATGCTTTTTCATATCTAAAGGGCCATCCAGGAGAAAGAAAGTGATGCTGTGAAGTAAGCAGTATTCTAGTGCACCACTTTGTTTGTCTATTGGTAGGATCTTCCCTTTCCAAGCTACATAAAATAAGAATCAGACCAACAGGTCTGTACTTTCCTATCTCAGAATCAACAGTGGCACTCTCAGTGCAGTATAAGGTTTGCCTGACCCTGCCCCCCCACACTGCATTTTGCAGTGATACGTCTGTATATTTCTGATTTCAAGATTATCACAGAGCACAGACAAGAATAAGCCAACAGCAACCTTCAGTGTTTTAAATGGATGACATTTTTTTCCCTACCTGAGAAAGTCCTAGATTACATAAGCCTGTCACATGCTCTAGCTAAAACATACAGTTAATCAAGTACTTCAGCTCACTCTTATCATAAAGCGAAGTGCTCATGTTGCAATCATTTTATTTAGATATCTGCAGACTTGAATGTACTTGCTTAACGCACAAGACCAATTCAAACAGGTGTTTGTATACCACAGTGCATAGATGTTAAAAAAAAAAAAATAAATAATCTCAGAGCTTTATTTTAAGTCACTGTTTACTGACCTCTTTGGCTAGGAGACTGCATAATAATTTGTACCACTTTTCGTAGACAGAGTAACTTCTGTTGAGGGGAAGTACATTTGTTCAGCTGACTCAGTTCTCGCTTCGCACGTGGTATATTAAAACTACAAAATAATTTGAAAGAAATTGTCAACATGCACCAGAGCTTCTGTGCAGGATGCCCAAAATCCAAGTCTGAACTTATCCAGAGCTGAAATGAAGAATGGTATTAACTCATTTCTATCTCTACCCTACACTTGCATTTCTGTGCCTTGTAGATGGAATGGGAGGCATAAAACCCCAAAAGTAAAGAAGTTCAATGAAACAACTGCCTTAAAATGATACAATTTTTCTATCTCAAAGGAATGAAGCATAATAAAAACTTACTGTTGCCTGAAGGATAACTTTTTGGCCTGCCAGAAAGCTATTTGAGATAGGATCTCAGTGACTGCTCAAAAACTAACACTCACCTAAACTCGGGTTTTACTCCAATGTCTTTTTGCTGGAGCTCTTGAAGGCTTCTCGTGATTTTGTTAAAAGCAGCATCCTAATCATAAGAAAGGTAATAAGTGTTTAAAGTGCATTGGATTAACGTAATTGATCTTCAGCAATCAAACAAACTTACCTCACTTGCCTCAATAGTCCCCACATATTTAAAGACTAGATCATAAATAGCATGGTGGACATACATCTGTTGGAAAAAAAAAAGCAAACAGTAACTTAGACATGAAAGGAAAGGAAAAGCTAAAATTGCTTGCCAATTGTCTTCCTTCATTTCAGATGCTTACTTCAACTGCTTGTTTAATCAGATTCATCTGCTCCTCCTGCTTCGCAAGCATCTTCTAAAAAAGGAACAGCCACATAAAGAGCAAGAGAGTTAAATGATTTATTGCTTAAGTAAAGCTACATACTATGTATTTAGTGATGTGTTTACCAAGTGTGAATCTCTCAGAAGATGCTGGAGACATTTGGTATAAAGTGCACTGACAGAATCCTAGAAGGGAAAAGAAAAAGTAGATCTGGGTTAATGATATGAAGCAACAAAGCATAAAAGAGCAAAGAAAGGAGAGCTTCTCTGACTTAGAAGCATACAGTATCAACAAAAGCAAAGTAAGATCTTTAGCTAAAAGCTGCATTTACATAACAGTCAAGATGCAGTCATTCACAGTTACAAATTCTTTTCTCCCTACCTACCTTCCTCCCTGGACTATTCTGACATAGAACATCTTAACAGGAAAAGATATCCAAAGCAGTGAAGTAAATTATGTTTAGTAAATTAATCATCAAGCAGCAAGATACTGACTATGTAATGGCGGAGGCTTTTCCGTTCGTGCTCTTTAAATGTTCGGTAGAAAGATCCTATGTATTTATCAAATCTCTCACAGTGCCTTCCCAAGAATTCTCTAACATCTTCAATATTTTTCAGAGAATAAAGATTTGATGAAGCTGTAGATTCACCTAAAAATGAAACCTAAGAGTTAACACATTGAATGCACATGCACAGTAAAGCTCTTTCTTGTTCCAGATATCAAGCCAACTTGTGTATAATGAAACATTAATTCAGCTTACTGTGCTTCTAAACAAAGGTGTTGCTTTCAATTATGAAAAGATATTGCAGTTAAATAGTCACACTTAAAGCCAGCTCTCTTGCCTTTTATGTCAAGTATCTGTTTGGAATAGCTAAAAACTGATTCTGCATGCTCCTTTCCTCTGGGGTAATTTATTGCTGCTCATAACTTGAGCGTGAGACAGGCATGAAATTTAAGAAAAGCATATTACAGTACTGAGTGCAGGAAGATAGTGTGCTCTAAACAAGCTGTAAAAAATAAAACACCCACATCCTGAACTTCTACATAGTCTATTTAATAGCCTATTATTATAGGCACCCTTTCTTCTGAATGAGGGCAAAGTTGCATCAAGAAAATGTTGAACCAAATCCACTTTTCTTCTAAATAATACAGTCTGATCCCTTGTCTCAAATTCATATACTTATATATAGCTTTTCCAAGAAAATTTCTCTAGGCAAGGCCTTCATCTGCACTCAAAAGGCAACTAATAACAGGCTCAGATCTTATTCATTTCAAATTACTTAGAAATTACAAGTCACCTCACTTCTGAAAGTCACCTCACTTCTGCTGTATAACTAACAATAGCTAAAAGCTGAAGAATACAGTTTGAGTCTTTATGTATTTCAGCTATTTTATTTCCAGCATAATGTCCACACTACTCACAGTACTATTTTCACATTTGCCCAGTACCATTTTGTCATTTGTTTACATTCTTACTTGTTTAAAAAGATGGGATGCTTTTAATTCAGAAAAAGCATACATGTCAAGTAGCTTCAGTTACTTACTTGGTACAAAATTTCATAAGGAAATTCTGTTACATTCACAGCTTGAGTAGCAGCCTTGGAAAGATCATTCTAGCCTCATCAAGAGGCTCTTCCAATATTAGGAAAAAAAGAATACATTAAATGAAATATGACAGATTACCTCCAAGTGAGCTGCTATGTAGCTATGCTACACAGCCTTTAAACACTAATGAAGTCACTATGAATCTACCACAACCCAACTTTGTACATCCATGGTGCATCTGAAGACAGGTGTGATTAAAGAGATTAAATTCTACCTTTAAACAGCCAACACTGACACTGAACTTTGCTAAAAAAAAAAAAAAAAAAAAAAAAAAAAAAAAAAAAAAAAAAAAAAACAAAACAAAACACCAAGCAGTATCAAGTACTCCATAATTCTTTACCATGGAGACTGGGACACAAGTCTTATAAAAATAAAGTTTGGCTGGCACCAACTTCATGCTTTTACAGCAACATACTAACATCCACACCACCATATCAGTAAATGCTGAGAGCTTCAGTCAACTCGGCACTTTTCAGAATGAATAAAGCACATTAAATAAAGATAATGATTTGCTTGTGTGCAAACAAGGCCAACTGTTATCACTGCAATACCTACTTGAGCTTTCTGTTTTTTCCAGTGGATGAGCTATGCACAAAATACTAAAGCTCTCTTCTTTTTCATTGTAAAATGTTTCCTCAAAAAGAACAGGGACCGAGAGATGATCGTCAAAACCAGTTCCTAAGATGACAAGATTTCCTTGTATGAAGATCTCCTGGGGAAAAAAAAAAAGTGGAAAATTTCCAAAAAAAACACAATTACCCTGACTTCTGCATTGCATAGTTACATCTCCAGGGAAAAAAGAGAATCTTGCAATATGGAAAAATCACAGACTCCATATTTTTCATATTCTAATGCTGTGTAGGCTGAAACAGGGATTCCTGCAGTTTACAACAGCTAGCTGAATCTTGCTTTTACTCACGTTCCTTACAAGCCCCCTACTAAAGAAGCTTTGGAGAATATCTGAAACCAAGTAACTATTTGCAAGCTTTCAAGCACTTTTAGCAAAAGGGAATTAAAAAAAAAAAAAAGCAATTTATATTTGTTGTCTAGAGTTCTGCTTAGTAAGACATCATCCAACCTGGACATGTTTCTCATGCTCAGCTTTATCTCCTAAAGAATTCCTGTGTGAACACCTACAGTAGGAATACCTCAATGACTGCCTGCAAATAGGTGCAAAATCTCAGAATATATTGCAAAAATGGCAAGCAGAAAAGAAAAAAATTCATCTTAAACCTATGCAGCATTAGCATTGGTTATAATGGCCTTGCATTAGTTACTAAATCAGGCCTCAGATACTACTCAGTATTATCTTAATTGTCTTAACCCTTGATGAACTTGCATCTGCATACAATACAGGCAGCATGAAATCTAAAGATGCAGTTAAGTGAAAATGGCCCTTACACCAGGCAACAAGATTCCTAACAGCAAGAAATGCAGAGAACCCATTTACACAGTCAAAAATTCCATAACTAAAAAACACAGATAAGCTTGGCAGTTACTTCACTGAACTAGTAAACTGAAAATCGGAGTCAGAGGCATCTAAATAGGACAACCATTCGAGTCTATACCAAACAGTTTTCACTAGAAAGCAACATATCCTGGAGAACAGAGTCTTAAATGAGTGACACTTATTTTGGCAGTTAGTGCTAACTCTTTGCTCGCTCCTGTCACCACCCTTAGTTCAGCTGGTTACCGACTGCAGGAGTCATTTACCAGTGTCCCCAAGATACCAAAACGGAAATACCTTTCCATTTAAGGTCTGAAAATTTTCTTCTAGTGGCTTCAGTACATAAGATTCAAACTGGCAGTTGGAAAGACAGTTGCTTGAAAGGCTTCCTTTGCATGGAACTAATACCTAAAATAGAGTTAGATCACAATTTGGAGATAAATACAATAAAACACCAGTTAAATTCTGATTGCTTTTGCCTTTCATACTACAATAGATTGGCAGATAAAGACAAATTCTTGACTAGTAAGCAAGACTCATTTTAATATCTGTTTACACAATGTTAATCTAATTTTCAATTTGTTCTGATGTCAAGAAGCTCAAACTTCTACTGTTAATCCAAAGGAATTTTGGAGTTTCTTCTTTTAATTAAGTTATTCTCCATTCAGACTATATTTTCTCAAAGCAAGTTCAGTCATTTGGAGTAAAGCAGTGGATGAGCACTTTCAAGTTACAGTAAATCACTATTCAGTGAGGAAAAATTATGACCAAAGTGTGAGATCTCATTCAATACCAGGAACTCTATACACACTGAAAATACATTTCATTGTCAAGAAATAGCATCTTCAAATTGCTTCTGCTCTTAAAATGACATCCCTCCTTCTCCAGAAGCAGCAGTACAACTCAATATGAATACTTTCATCCTGGAAATGTAGAGTTGCTCCTTTAACAGCTCCAGAACCACCAGTATAAGAGATCAGACTTAAGAACAGAAAGAAAATTTTAAATGTCCCTGAGTTCCAGAAATATTTGACAGATTCTTGCCTTCACAAGCAGCATTCAACTCCTCATTGATTCTCCAATAATCCTCTGAGACTGTACAGATATTTACTAAACTTGAATATATACAGATATTTCTTTAAAGATATGCTTTTAATCCCACATAAGATCACAGAGATATCAATACATACTAGAAGCCAGCAAGTTCACGCAAGCGTGCAGTACAGTTAATGCAAAGAATTAAGGATAAGATTAAGGTAAGGATGCCAATGACATTAGGCGTTAGAATACAGAAATGCTAAAATCTGTTCACTAATCGTATCACTATCTTAAGTAATAGAAAGAACCCTGTCCAATTAAAGTTCAATTTTATAATCCAATAGAAATAAGCTGAGTTTAATGGAATCTCCACACACTTAATTTCATATCAACACTTACAGCAAGATACTCAAACTGGAAGTTTTACAGAATTGCAGTTTTTTGTTCTAACTCATTTTAATGTCTTTGATTTGCTATATAAAATTGTCAAAAATAAGTGATTGTCCACCAGGGATTTCAAGAAGCCAATCCTAATTTAAATCACAAGTGCAAGAATATACAACTAGTTGGTATCAAAGAAAATAAGTTTCCTGTGAAGGTTAGAAGTTATCACTTCCATCTGTTACTACTGTGCAGTTACCAAGAGATCCATGTTTGCAGACAAAACATTTTGCAGGCTTGTACTGATCTTCATGAGTCTTAGGAAGCCTGGAATTTAAATAAAAATTTGCTGCTATTTAATAAGTTATTTTAGAATACACTTATTTATACTTACAATACCATGGAGTTCTGCAACTTTGCTGCAGAGATCAGGACGTCGCTTCTGAATGGCCAAATAAAAGGGATTTTTCAAAAGGTCTTCATCATACATAGCCATATGGACTTCAGATACCCAAAGGAGATTTTCTAGAAAACATATGGAGAATGGTTAAAGCATAGTACATGTATCTGTGAATGTACAATATTGCAAAATACCAAAGGGGCAAAAAAGAAAGAAGTAGCTTCAGATATTGGATGTGAGCTGTCAATGTCATGCTTAATTAACTAGAAATTAAATGTAGTCACACAAAAGTTACTCAGAAAGAACTATGTGCAAACAAAACAACACATTTCCTGTTACACATGTACCCTCATAAGGTCTCCTTTGCCCTTTAAGTGCATGATCTGCTGGGGAAAAAAAATAATGGAAGAAGATAGGTATTAAGATCTACATTATAACCACTCTGATAGACAAGCTAAGGTCTAACACAAAACAGAAGATTGAAATTAAAAGCTTCTTCACAGCAGATTCTACAATGCTTCAGGACATTGATGCTTTCACAGTAAGCTCAGCTAAGTGACAATTACTGACCCACACATCAGTGAGACACTCAGACAATGTAACAGGAATCCTTGTGTAATGTAATCCCCAACTTTCCAGGGAAAGTTTCAGGAAAGGTACAAGAAGCAGGTATGTATAACCAAGTCATAATTAAAAAGACACCAATGAAATCCAATATTTGTGGTAACCTCTACTTCCATTAAAAAGGTGTCAATCATCTGAAGTCAGACTGACAACATCTGGAAAAAAGCAAGCAGAAAAGCTACCAGAGACAGAAATCCAACTGCTAGACAGTGGAGAGTTACCACAAGGTGCATCACAGGGAAAAGAGGATTTCCAGAGACACTAAACTCTCAGTTAAAAAGGCCTCTGTACTTTTAAATCTCTAGACACAAGGACATGAAAAACCCTAATATGACCCTTCTAGACTAACTTCAGCATTGTTTCATTCAGAAGAACAAAGGTTAATAAGTTTACAAGGGCTTAATTAAGTAGACTGTCATATCTTTTCCCCTCATTCAGATTCCTCAAGGAAACTAGAAACATAAGTCACATTATTCCTCCTGCAATTTCATCTATATGTACCAGGAAAAGGTAAGAAGAGCAGCAGAAGTTCAATTTGAACCAAGCCATCCTTACACAATCAGCATTTCCAGGTTGGAAATGCCCATGTCGGGATGGGGCTCTGGGCAGCCTGGTCTAGTTTAGAATATGGAGGTTAGTATCCTAACTTTTACTCAGCACATCACTTGCTCAGTGTGAGCTTCTGATGCTTATCATGTAGTACTTGAAATTCTGAGCTACAGTAGTGCTGTACTGGTGCCACAAACACATCCTTCTCCACAGACTGGCAAAGAGACATGAAACCGCTATGTTACAGTATAAAAGGATGGAAAAATACATTCCCAATTTGCACAGATTTTTAAACAGTCCTTTAATTTCAGCTATGCTGTTAACTGATCTATTGTCTGTTACCTGATCTATGTATTATCTGGTCCTTCCTTATAATTAAGCATAAAGAGAACTCACAAACACAATCAATTAAGCCTGAAAGCCATTCCCACTATAAAGTTATCAGCAGTTTCTTGCAGCCTGGATTGCCTCTGCATGAGCCACTCAAGACAACTAAGGCAGTGGCAGGTAACTGTCTCCAGCAGTTTTTTCTCATGAAGCTCCAGATAAAACAGTTCATCCACTTCCCAAAAGGACGAAAAATAATATCTATTATGAAAGGACATCAATTTGGCTGTGCCAGCACTAAGACAGGACTTACCAAGCAGGACTAATTACCTATTAACTGCCTATGAACAGCCAGCTAAGCATTAATTCCAGTAAGATCTTAAATGACTTAGAGCTCACAGTTCAAACATGTTTCAACATCAACTTATTAGATAGAAGGCAAATGTCATAGAGGGCTGTATGAACACATGCAGCAAGCAAAATCATCAGCCACAGCAAAGCTTATTTTGGAGCCCCATATTCCTTTTTGGGTGCTACTCTTCAGGGAAGATGAAATTGACTGACGAATCTTAAGTGAGAAAGGCAGAAAAGGAGGATGTAGGACATAGTGCAGTGCAGTGATACTAGTTAAGGTAAAGAAACTGCATGAGATAAGTAAGAAAATCCCCCAGATGTACCAAAGTCTCAGCAAGGGCATTTTGTTCCACATCTCTAGAAGAAGAAACAGGCCTCAGCTTAGGTAAAGAGAGTCAGGTTACAGATCAGGAACAACTTAAATAAAAAAAAAAAAAAAAAAAAAAAAAAGATAACCACATGTTTTAGATCACTTGTCAAAGCTATCAAGTCTCCAATATTGTAAATCTTTAAGAACCTGTTAGACAAACCTCTACTAGAAGTGATACAGATCCAGCCTTCTAGCCTCACTAGATTATACGATCTCTCAGGACAGTTTCCAAAACAAGCTTCTACTGAAGTAGATGGCCCACCAAAGCATCTTCACCTGCCTTTTCGTTTGTGAATCCACGTTCACTATCCAGTCAACTGATAGATGAGAATGCTGTGACTCTCCACACAGTATGTAAGAAAGTATTAGGATGCCAGGTGCTGGGCAGTGGTGAGATGAGCCAAGAGCACATCGACACAAGAAGGCAACTAAGCATCAGACTGCAGAGACAAAAACGCAGTGCACTTGTGTTTCTAATTGCTATATTATCCCTTTTTCAGCTTAATGAATCTAAGTCCAAAGAATTTTTTCCCATAGTAGAAAAGAAAAGGAAGAACACATTCCACAGACCTCCTTTCTCCAGAGACCTGCATCTCAAAGAAGTGAGCTCTGCCTACAGGAAATTAACAATATTTAATACCCTAGCAAAACAGATAGAAGGGATGTATTGGAGGGGAAAAGCCCCCTAGAAAACCTTAGCTTATGAAATTTGCTGTTGGACTGATGCAGCTCTTAACTCATTGCCTTCACGTAATTAAAAAAAAAAATCAGGGTACTGTAAGAACTGTTTCAGTTAACAGATCAACCCACTAAGCTTGAAACAACAACCTACAGATCTGGTTCATGCGTTACCACACAGAGCCAGGCATTTTGCTTACTACAGAACTACTGACTGCAGCAATAATTCATGCTTCTTAAGTTCAAAAAAAGTGACAAGAATCTGCATTAATTCTAGCATTTTAGCTACTGTAGTACAACTCAGATGCTGTCAACATGCTAAAACCCTAATAAGGAAGCTTTAACTTTTAGTTCACGGAAGAGTTTGCCACTCACCTTGAGCAGAAGCAGGCTGAAGACTCTAATCTGCTAGCTGGGCACATAAAGCTGCAACCAAGTCCCTGCACAGCAGGAAGTAGCAACCAGTAGTCAAATGAGTACTGTTTTGAGAATGGATTCTCAATTTCCTTCTCTTTTCTCAACACCTTTCTCTTAGCCCTGCATCTGCACACTGCTCCATTAGTGGATGGCTACCATATCTGATTAATGTGTGGGCATGCAAAAGAAAGAATGAAATGTTCATTACATTAACTGAAGCAGTTAATCAACTACATTTGCCCAGACAAATGGGGATGTTTTGGCCATGTAGTATTAGTAACTACAACAAAGCCAAGTCCTTCACACTACGCTTCTACAAATCAAGTCTAAGAAAACTGAAGAATACATTAAAGATCCCCCAAATTTTGTCTCAAGCATTTTTGAGACAAGTCAATTTCTTTCCATCTCAAAAGTTAAGTGCATCTGAACATAACAGCTAATGCACTGCAGTAATTCTAAGAATGCATTAGAATATTCCATTGAGAATTTGTTGGCAGAACACAACATCCAACTTTAATCTAATGGAACTAAAGGGGCAGGTGGTGGAGTTATTCCTCTAGTTGCACCTCAGACAGCTTTAGATTTACTAACATTACACAAGCAGGAAAAAGCACAAAGTCACGTAAGTATTGAATAGTGCTGGTAACATGTAACTGAAAGCCCATTAAAAATTTTCATAAGCCACATTCACCGAGTTTATTAAATTCCATTATGCTAAGCTGTAAAGCAACACGTAAGTACTACTTTCAAAATGTTAAAATGGAATTACTTAGCTTCATGCCTGTAAACACAGAAATAGCTCTGATTGCTGGAAGAACAGAAGCCAGCTCATCAGAGAATCCAATAAGCATTTTGTTACCCTGTACAAAAAAAAAACCCCACCAACATAATCATACCCTTAGAACAGCCAAGTCCTTTGTAGATTAAGAACAGAGTGATAGTTCTAATGACACATCTTGCACCAGGAACAGCTGAAGTGAAAAGCCATGCAATAGAATCCAAGCACGTCAGTTTTTTCCAAAGGAGTGGAAACCAAGTCCTATGACCTTTGGTACTGAAAGCAATAAGCAGGATTTAGCTATGAAAGTTTTTGTCATAAGATTTTCCTTTAGAGATACTGAAATCAGGTGCTTTTCACAGTCCTATTCATTTCCAGCTCTTTTTAAGGAACATTTTGAAATAGTCATTAAAATAGATGCCACTGCTTTTACTTGACAGCTACACTGTGTCCCCATTCTAAAAATTTTTATTCAGTTCTGAAGTATACCACCTGAATACCCCATTTTAATATTGAAGACCTAATGAGATGTACTACAGATAGCCTTTCACAATAGCAAAGGATTCTGTATAGAAATACTTCATATTCCATGGTGAAGAGCACAAGACTGACTCGTTCATTTCACACACTGACATCAATTTCATCTCCACTTGCAGACTCTTGTACAACATTAACAACTCCAGCTTAGTAAACCGGTAACTAGAATATCACTTGCTGAAAAGCTCAAAAGGATGACAGAAGTCAGACCAAGCAATAACTTATTACTCACCTACAAATTGTTCATCTCAGAACAGCTAAACATTATACTGAGACATTTCTGGTCAAATTTGTAAGTGTATTTATCACACCAGTGAACTGTAGTGCTATGCAGAAAGAAACCTGGATGAAACAATTGTTCCCCAGTTCCAAATGACTTTTCAAACACAGTGGGATCCCCCTTCACCACCACCACCACAACCTCCTCCTCTCCCCTCCTCCCCCCCAAAAAAAAAATATTATCAGAGCACTACTTTTAGCAGTATACTGGATCTGAGCATATCTTAAAGCACCCTGCAAACACAAATTTAACAGTGGGACTTAAGTAGGTTCAGTCCAAATACAACTAGTTACCTACAGTAACTACAGTTTTATTTGCAGTATTACTCCTCGTATTTACACTACTGGAGGCTAAAAGTCCCAGTTTGAACTTGAGACCTCAAATCAACATTTTCATCATGAAGCAAAAATCTCCTCTGTTTCTGGGCACACAGAAAAACTCTCACTCCTAATGAATGAGCACTGAGCATCTGATGAACTATGGCTCCAAGACATGCTCCAGTTCCCTGCTCACCACGAGGGAAAGATAAAGAGGAAACTATTTCTACCTTTTACATTCAGCTGCAGCTTATAGTGATTTCAGTGATTTTAGTGAGTATATCAGGATATCACCTTTGAATTATCAGAGTACTGAGTAGTGAATCTGCATCAGTCAGCTCAAGGCTCCCTAGAAACCAGGGGAAAACTAAGTTATATCATCCCAGAATGAGAGTCTGACAGTGATGCAGCAGGTTCTGGGAAGGAGAGGTCAATGCCATTCCAGGAAGATGCTCCTTTTTCAACAGCATCTCCCCTGCAGTCACATTCCTTCAAGTGAAGGGTACAGAGCTCAGATCTTTGTGTGCAGTGTTTGGTTTTTTGTTTGTTTGGGTTTTTGGGGGGTGGGGGGCATCTCTGCACATCCCTCTCCACACAGATCCCACTTCTATATTCAGGGTCAGACAGCTGTCTCTCATCACTTCTCTCAGCATCATGCTGTGCCCTAAGGCATTGCACAATGCCTGACAGGAGCAGGCAGTGCCATATAAGTGTGTTCTGCTCATCCCTCACACTGCTTTCCATTATAAGCCCCCCAAAAAACTCCAAACCAGAGCTCATTCTTAAGAAGAACATTCAACCTTTCTAATTTAAGTGCATTCATATTATAGTTTGATGCTAAAACATTCACATTTCCCCCAGACTTGAGGCCTGACTCCCACCAGCCACCTGATCAGCACTCTATGAACAGGATGCTGTCTGTTCTCACCCAGTCACCTCCCCTGACTTCAGAGATCAGTGCTCTTGGCATTAGCCAGGTACTTACAACAAGCTGCATTCCAAACAACCCAAGAGAGTATGGATTCCCAACCCTTGCAGATTTAAAAATATACTGAGTAGCTGCAAATTCCTCACCTGCGTTTGTTCTCTAGCTTACCATTACTAAGACTGCACTCAAATCTCAAATTGGGAATCCTGAGCAAGTTACAAGCAAACTGTGAAGGAAGAGAGCAGAAAAGGCTGATCAGTAGAAACACAAAGATTAAAGAGAACAAACATTAACAGAATGGACAAAGTCCTCACCATCTGCTCAATGCATTTACATAAGGTCACCTCTGCAGTCTTGCAGAGGTATCAGCATATGAATTCACAGCGGACTGACCACACAAAAACACACCAATACTAAAGTGCTGAAGTACAAGGATAAAAGTTGTTTTCTTAAGCCAATTATGGTGATCCTTCACTCACAGAGACAAAGCAGTGGTAGAATCCTTAGTTTATGCATTGGGCCCAAACACTAAAATGGATGCATAAACACTGTGTCCCGATTATAGAGTCATAGACCACTCATGTTCATAGCAGATCACATCTGCTTTCTGCATATCTCAGTAGGAAAAACCAAGTTGCTGCAGGCCAAGACTAGCTTTGTCTCATTGATGCTAAGAGCTTAAACATCCGCCCATTACTAGATTATCTAGTTATGGGAAGCATTGCTGAACTACATTAGATATCCCTTTTGAGGAGCAGAGAGGAAGGAAGGCGTGAGCACTTGCACAGGAGAAGTCCTTCCAACTAGCACAGCAAACAATTATAAGCACTGCTGGCCTTTAATACCACATATGGCATCATACATTGGCCCAAGGTAACTGAAAGCCATGCAACAAGTCCACAATAAACTTATCAGACCGATGATCCTCCACGATAGAAGTCACAGAATGGCCTGGGTTGGAAGGGACCTCAAGGATCAGTGAATCTCCAACCCCCTGCCATATGCAGGGCCACCAAGTTCCACATTCAATACTAGACCAGGTTGCCCAGGGCCCCATCCAATCTGGCCTTGAACACCTCCAGGGACGGGGCATCCACAACCTCTCTGGGCAGCCTGTTCCAGCACCTCACCACTCTCTCAGTAAGGAACTTCCACTTGACATTCAACCTAAATCTTCCCTCCCTCAACTTAAAACCATTTCCCCTTGTGCTGCTGTTATCTACCCTTTCAAAGAGTTGATTCCCCTCTCGTTGATAGGCTCCCTTTAGATACTGAAAGGTCACCCCACAGCCTTCTTTTCTCCAGGCCAAACAAGCCCAGCTCCTTCAGCCTGTCTTTGTAGGGGAGGTGCTCCAGCCCCATGATCATCTTTGTGAAAATGATGTGGAAATCAAAATTCTCACTCTGGATCAACATTTCAAAACACTTTACAACAAAACATTCACAAAACGCAAGCCAGGAGTTATCTATACAGAGCTACACTGAGTTATCAGACACTCAACCAGTTTTGTTCACACTGCATCCAATCCTTATGTTCTGTCCTCATCTCAGTGGTTTTCAACCATCTCAGGTCACAGCATTCGGATGCCTGAACTCAGAGTATGAGGTCATCCCAGAGGCGAAGCCATGAGGCAAGATTTACCAACCATTCAAACAAAACAGATTTGTATTTACCTAAAATACCACTTAAGTCTATTAAAATGATACAGGACTTAACAAGCACTAATGCTCAAGAAGCAGCAGAGTATCTGCTGTTTCAAAGTACTGCAACATGAAGAACACCATCATAAACACCTGTTGGAAGGAAGCCTTTCTACAGAACCAGCAAATACATTTCTGCTGGCACTCATTACATTACATACTAACTCCCTTGCAATTTCAGGGTTCGGCTTTTTTTGGATAAAGTTTTTGGATAAAGTTTCAGCTAGTCAGAATCTTCTTTGAAAGCATTATCATGACTTGGATTTAACAGCATCATGTCTGATAAGCTACAGCCAAATTTTAAGAGTTTTCAGAATCTACTTGAAAAGGATAACTGCAACACAACTGAACTTAATTTAGAGCTGTTCTGCAGAACAGCCTTTCTTCACACATGATATATCTAGAGAAGTTTTGTTTGTTTTGTTTGTTTGCTTTTTTTTTTTACAGATTGTAACTGCTGCCACCTTCAGATTTATGCAGTCACGTGCTCCTAAACCAACATCCCTTCCCCTTCTCAGCTATGCCTGGATTTCAGAGAAACTGATCCTGACATGCCACAAGGAATAACAGCCCCAGTAAGGTGCAGCAGTGCAGCTGCTGCCCACATGGATGTGTAATTTAGGATTAAGCTTAAGTCACACAGGACTCCAGATTGAAACCTAGAGCTAATCCTTCTACCACATGACAATACTTAAACAGTTACAAAACTTCATATACAAGGTCAAAAGCATCTTGTGCTTCTTCATTCCAGCAAGGAACAGACGTTCATTCACATCTTGCCTGCCACTGGCAGGGAGTTACCCAGTAGCTCCACAGTGACCTCACAGCCTGCTGCAGGACTTGGCAGCTGGTTTCTTCCACAGGTGCACATGGGTGCAGCAGTAGCCACACGCAACTTGTGGCCTGGTCCAACAGAAAAGCAGAACAAAAAGCAGTCAGGGGAGCACAGGATCAAACTCCCCATGTAACTGAATAATAGAAAAGGAACACAGCCTCAACACACCTCCCAGAACCTGGCCTGCCCAGAGCCTGCCCAGGGCATCACCTTATCTTGCCCGTGGCGCAGAATGCAGCCACAATAAGGGACAGGGTCACAACCCCCCTCTTGAAGGATGTTTTCACTTCTCATAAATTACTGTAGCAACATCAAATCATACAGTTGTCCAGGAGTATAAAGGCATATGCAGTGGTGTGTGGCATGACAAGCAAGTTCTCCAGAAGCCTGCCATGGTGAAACATGTGTTAAGAGACAGCAAGCACAGCCTGCTACGCAGCTCTCAGCGTCAGTGTTATCTGTTCTTCTGGAAGACACAGGCATGTGTACAAACATAGCCTACAGCTCATCACTGACTACAACATATTTCAGAACATACACAAGGGCAGCCAGTAAAGTATCATTTTTTATAGTAAAAAGCTTGTGCTTGCTACACCTTCTGACGCATGATTACTTGATTTCAACTATCCTTAGACATTCTGGGCCCCATACTCACACTTCCTAGGGGCCTTCTTCAATAATCCACAGAGTAAAAACATGCAAATTCTTGCCCCCGAGAAACGAGCTGAAGCGTCTGTGACACTGATATACAGAAAGCGTGCATCACAGAGCCCGGTAGGAACCAGAGTGCACTCCTCTGATATAAATAATGCACGTACCGGGGTGAGAAAAAGTTCAGCAGCGCATTAAGCGCTCCCGACGCTGCGTAGCGCGGGCAGCGGGTCTACCGCGGGTGGCAGCGGGACCGCGAGCACCAGCAGCCCCGCGCCACGGGCCGGACGCCGCCAGAGCCAGAGTTGCCAACGCGGCGGGGAGCACGGCGCGGGGAGCGCAGCGCCGCAACCCCAGCAGGGCCGCCCCAAGGCCCCACCGGCTCCGCGTCAGCCCCAGCCCGGGAACAGGCCGCGGCCGGCACCTCCCCTCTCGCAGCGCGGCTCACAGGCAGCGACACAGCCGTTCCGGCTGAGGAGGGGACGGGAGGGTACCGCTGGGACCGGCCCCGCGGAAAGAGACCAGCGGGCTGCGGGAGGAAGAGAGGGAAAGGAGGAGTGAGAGAGCGCCCTCGCCCCGCCAACGCCGCCCCCCCTAACCTCCCCGCGCCTCGGCCGAGCCCTACCGGGAACCAGGGCGGGCCGGCGCGGCGCCGCACGAAGCCAATGGCCGGGCAGCGGCGGGAAGCGAACGAGGAAGCGGGCGGCCGCCGGGGGTCGGAGCCTGCGGGGGCGGAGCCTGCGAGGGCTTATAGGGCCGGCCCGGGCCGCGCCCGGAGGCCGCGGGCGCTCCCCGCTCGGCGCCATGTGATCGCGCTGGACCCGGCTCAGCCGGATCGGGTTCGTGCAGACGGCGGGCGGGGGGAGCCGCCGTTCTCCAGAGCCGGCGCTTTAGCTTTTGGGTTTGTTTTCGCCCCGTGTTTGGCACTCGTCAAAGTACGGGGCCCGATAGGCGGACGCCCGGCGCTCTGCGGGATGGCTCGCCTCGGTCGTGCTGCCCGCCGGCGGTAGCAGGGGAAGCGATGTTGCCCGCGCCCCGCGAGCCCGGAGCGGCCGGCCACGCCTGAGGGGCTGCGGGGCGGGCGCGACCCGGGGCTGCCTCCCGCCATGCGTGCTGGTAGCGGCTGCGCTGGGCAGCTCCTCACTCCCGAGGCCGGGTAACCGCGGCGGAGGCGCCCGGACGGCGGGACCATGGTGAAGGAGGAGTGCAAGGCGTTGCTGGACGCGCTCAGCAGGGTGACCGCCTGCTATCGGCACATGGTGCTGACCATCGGCGGCACCTCGGACTCGCAGAACCTGCGCGAGGAGTTGAAGAAGACCCGGCAGAAAGCCCAGGAGCTGGCGGTGGCCAACAGGAACAAGCTGACCACGGTGCTGAGGGACAAAACCGTGAGTAAGGAGGACAAAGCCGAGTTCGAGAGACTATGGGTGATTTTCTCCACTTGCCTAGAGATCCTGGAGATCGACATGAGGAGAGCACTGGAGCTGGGGCACGAATTCCCGCTGAACGTCCCCAAAAAGCACCTGATCCAGACGGGCATGAGCGGGGGCACCTCCGGCGTGGCTGCCCGGGCCATGAGCGTCCAGAACATGAAGTACGAGGCTGAGCACAACATAGATGTGGTGGATCTGAAGGACCTAGAGAACGAAATCAACCAGGTAGGGGAAATGATGTACGAGATGGAAATGAAGGTCAATGTCCCCCAGTGGACAGTAGAGGCTAAGCAAGACCCTGGGGCTGAACTCAAATCCACCATCAGCGTGGGCGCTTCTTCCATTGGCATGATCTCTGTGGAGGAAAATAAATCCTTCTGCGATATCAGCAAAGTTCTGGCTGGGATTATTTTCTCTGCTGTTCTCATTATTGCTATCGTGCTGGCAGTGTGTGTGGTAAAACTCTCATAAACTGTGCTGGCACTGGAGAGCTCTCACAGGGCCTCCCGAAAGTGCTTCGCGTCTCTTGTTACTTGGGTGCACTGAGAATCTAAACCTAGCACTTGGAAACGAAAAACTTTTGCCTCTCTAAATCCTGAAATGCACAGTTCCTTTCATGCTTTTTGAAGAAAAAGATGCAAATCAGCCTGCAAACTAGGATGTATTCATTAGCTGGACTTGTAAGGGTTAACTGTGAAGTATTGAGGGTATTATCACTACTGGCTATAACAGCGATTTGTCTGCTATTAATAGATCATCACTCTCAGATGCCTGCATTTTTTGTTCTTGAACAGGCTCTGCAGTTTGCTGCTGCTCACTGTTTACAATATTTCTGACTGACACGAATTTGGAGGCCAACACAGGTGTTTCGCATGACAGTGAATAGAATAGATTGAGAATTTTTTCAGCAATATGCAAGATATTATTTCAGTGGAGGAAAAAGGGAAGAATGGACGCACCAATAAGGGAATGTAAATGTCTATTTCAACAAAGGTTAATGATCAGGGAAAGGGGAAGTGTGGAGGAGAACAAAGAAAACTAGCAATATTCAGCAAGTACAGTTTGTAGCTTTAGACTGGGTTGCATAGAAGCCAGCGACCAGGGTTGGCACAGCACATATTGATGGCTTTCCACATGCTGAGAGAGAAAAGGGAGAGCTGCATAGTCAGAAAAATGCTAGCAAGCCCTGTGGTTTTCTTCCACGTTAACCATGATCTTGTCTCCCCCTGCAGAAAGGCTGATTCTTGTCACTGGTTCAGATTCTTTCTGTAGATGCAATCTGTCTGAACTTCTCAATTAACTGTGAGATGAGGAGCAGTGAATCCACCTACAACAGATGCAATAATTTTTGACAATAGTTTGGCAAACAGCACTGATGCATTGTGAAAGCAGACCTTTCTAGTCATCTTGAAAGAGATCCTCTCTCATGTTGACAGGCAGAGACTTTGGCCTCTTGACATACAAACTCCTGAGGTCTTTGCAGAAATCCAGATAAAGCTAAAAAAAATCTGTTTCATCTCTCATTCATTTCTGAGAAATCATCTGGGAAAGAGGAAGTCTGTGGTACTGGACACATATCTGGTCCAATTGGATACCCTGCAGTTTGGGAGGATAAAAGCAAGAGCAGCAGAAAACTTTCCCAGCATTTACTTAAAAATTGCCTGTTTAAATGTAGAACTGAGGGGACATTAACTTTGCAGAGAAGCACTGTTATGTCTTGTAAAAGGACTCACGTGTTAATGTTCTTCATTATGTAGCTTATGGAGATTTTTCTGTTCATGTAAATACACGCCATTCATTCAAGAATGCTTAGTGCAGACATTATAGTGCATATGAGACACTCCACAGGGAGTTACAGAGACCTGATCACATGGGGGTTTTAATACATAATTAGTCTGCCACACCAATTACTATGGACACATTATCAAAAGGTAATAATCAGATACGTCTGGTGAAGTTACTAGAAAATAATCTTTGTGAACAGAAGTACGTTACCAACATATTTGAACAGGTGATAACTTTCTGAGTTGAGGACAAAACTTCTGAGAACAGCAGCAGGTAACTTTTTAATATGTAATAAAACCAGATTTGGGTAAAAAAAAGTGTGTAACAAATTGAATCTAGCGAGGAAAAAAAATGCCAAGTGAAGGCTTGAACTGTGTTATGCACACTGATCCAGTCTAGACATGGTTCACACAGGAATTAATGTATAAGACTCTACATTCCTTTCTACGGTGTTTCACTCGTTCCATAGGATGTGTTTTGTACACAGGTAACTTAGGTGTGTATAGATCCCCAGCAGCGCTCTTAAACAGTCAGGCCTGTTTTAATTGGTGCTACTGCTTCAGTCTGTCTAGGCACACATGATATGTAATAGCTGTGTTTTGATTTAAATGTGAAGAACTCTTTCACAATAATACTGAGCAAACACATTTATGGAAAATACAGCAAAAGCTGCAGGAGAATGTACTGTTAAGGATGGCCACCACTAGTCACTAAGGGTTTGTGGGTGTTTTCACTCACTGCAGTCTCCTTTACTTAGTTCCCATGAAGGTGCATCAGAAGTTGAACTTTTTTCTTCACTTCTTGAAAAAGTCATATCAGATAATTTCAACTCATGTTCTGAAAACCCCAGTAATGCAAGCCAGATTTCTGCTGGATAAAAAACATGGTAATATAACATCTACTGCATTCATTATTTTGTATTTTGTTATACTAAATGGATGTAATGTTTAGCAACAGTTGTTTGTATAGAGGGATTTTTAAGGCTTATCTTCAAAAGCAAGCCACAGTGAGTTCATGAGCTGGAAATTTTCAGTCCATTACTTTTTTTTTGTTTTATTTTCAATAATACAGGACCTGCAAACTTGGTAATTATGTAAGTCTTACTCCATTTGAATGTGCACACAGTTAGTAAAGGACTGAACTTTGAAAAAATAATGTCTTTTCAAATCTTAAGACAAAGGTGGCTGCAGATTTATCCACTGTTTATTTGTTCTATATTTTCTTATAGATGAAATCAAAAGATGAAGTAGAATTCTAAGAGGATTGTTACAGTCTCTTCTAAATGGATAGTGTTCCTGTTATTAATCTCCCGTTAAGAAAAGCACACTTGATACAAGGGTATGCACAATGTGACAGAGTTCAGGAGCATGAGTATGCAAATCAAAACAATATGGAACACCACTGGCCAGAAGTATTGATGTTTTTTTTAAATTTAGAAATAAGTGTGCTAGATTCACAGACTTTTTCCCACTGGAGTGTGAGTGGAAGGAAAATGGAAAAACTATTTTTGTAAATAAAAAAGTCAAGTTTCAAATATTCTGAATTTAGCATGACAAGAATACAAATACTCTGCTGCTGACCAGTGAATGAGAATGTCACTGTGTTTTCACTGTTTAATTTGAATCTTGTTCTACGTCAGTTTTTTTGTCCTTATTCATAGGACACACACTAAATTTGCTGTATACTGAAATCTTATTGCTGACTTGAATTATATTGTTTTTGCCTGTGCATGAGTGGTATTTTCTACACTTGAATGAAATGTTATTGTCACTGTTTATTTAACTTCAAATAAAGTATGTTCTTGTAACTTAATGGTTGGCTTGCAGCAGTGATTAAAAGCAAACGAAAACTGGAATATTGATGCACCTTTTCAATGAGTTCTTCTAAAGAAAAAGTTCCTATTTCAACTACAGAAATTAAGCAAACATGCTAAGCCTTCATATTAAGTTTTCCTTAAATAAACACACCCTTCTCGTGTACCCAAGTTGAATGCAGCAATGTATCTAAATTTATAAAGCAGGGAAATCAGGCATTTGAAAAGTCAAAAAATCTCTGCCTTAAGGATAGCAGGCACGATGTTGCTTTCAGCACTGCTTGCTGAAATAAATACTCAAACACTGGCTTTGAAAGGTGAAATCTAGAGAACATTTTGGGTTAGATGCATGCGTCTTGTGTTAGGATCCAAATGCTGCCTCGTTTTTCTAGCATTTACTTTAACAAAAGATAGACACATTTGAAGGAGTATAAAATTTAGTCCTGTGGTATTGATAGCAACAATGATGAGCAGTTGTATCAAACTATCTGATGTCTGCTAAATGCAGCAATATGTAATTTTGTTCCAGGACTCCTAGGCCATAAAATGTAAGAAAATGCTAGTTTTGTGATTTGCTAACAAAATGAATGCAGAATCACAATTAAGTGACTCTCCTCATTTTGCAGCCTAAACATCACATTAAACTTAACAGCATTATGAATTAAAATTGGTTTCAAAATTCTTTCAGTAAACATGGAAGCTGTTTTATGGGAATGCTGTTATTTAACAACCAAGTAAACTGGCTGATACCATTAGCTTCCGGACTGAAAATTAAACACATGCTCACTGTTTACAGTCCGAAAGGATTGGTTATGTGCTTTCTTTTCCATCTTATAATACAAGGTTTATGTTATTTATGAATATTTTCCAGAAATCTATTATATTTAAGTGCTAATGGAACTCCTACTCAACATATTTACCCTTCACAGATTTTCATTATGTAAAAAGTCATTCAGGAAGACCAGTGGATTATAGATCTCTAAGTGCTCTCTCTCAATACGATTATGTAAGTCTTTTAATGCGGGAAGAGATCTGGACAAAATAGTAGTCTACACGTGAGCAGCTTTTGCTATGGTAAGCATACAGTAAAAGTGGGATTAGAAAAGACAATCTTTCTCATAAAATTGTCTATATGTGCTGAGGGAAGGACAAGGTACTGAAAGGAGACAGATGTGTGCAATACTGTCTTCATTTTATGTACACGAAGTATGTTTTTTGTTAAATAGCAAAAAACAGCATCAGGGTATTAGGCTATGACTTCTCTGTAAGAACGTAATGTCTTACATCCATCCAGGGTGACCAGGAAAATACAGCATATCTGACTGGAGCTGATTACCCATTCTCTGATTAACTGTATACAAAATAAGAGTAAAATTGTCAAAAACATTTTAATTAGCTACATGTTAGTATCAATTTTACTTGAAAGAAAACTCCTTTTTTCTGTGCTTCACACTACTGAGATGAAGTGATCCCAGAAGGATGGAATCTGTCGTCAGCTACCTGCTGCAGTGTTGTAATGCAGTTGGAAACGCAGCTTAATCAGCTACCACTGAATAAACCTTTAAGAAGGTGAAAAGTCACATGGCATGTAACCAACAGCAGTGCTCCTCCGAATCCTATGCAGCCAAGCACAAAAGCTATGCGCTGGAAGCTGTGCACCTGGAAGCCATGGAAGCAAAATCAAAATTACAGCTTCTCTGAAATTCTGTGAAATGTGGAGGCCAGCTAGAAAAAGCAATTATGTTGTTCTGTTTTAGAGATTCTGTCAGAAAATCAAGAGTGGTTTTCCAGGCAGAAACCCACTTCTACAGTGTCACTTGTGGGCTTTCCCTTGTTGTTACTGTTTTGGTTTTGTTTTTATTTTATTTTGGTTTTGTCTGTTTTTTTTATTGAATTGCATGTTTTATTTACACTGTTATTACATGTCATTATTTATCACAAGCTTACTGTTAACATCTTCACCAAATTATAGAAACAAATCCTCTAAAAGCTAGTTCTAATTCAGTGCACAATAATCATGGAATAAATGTACAACATGTGTCTTTCACCTTCTTGGAACTTATTTTAGTCAGTTTTTCACTAAATACTCTGCGTTTAAAAAAAGTCCATGAAGTATACCATCAGTCAAGTCTGTCACTTGCACACAAATGCTCAAAGAATACGTGCAGTTGAACTCATTGATGTATCAGCATTACGGAATTACACAGCCTAAAACATGACTTGAAAATCATGGTGTTTTTTTTTTTTCCATAAATACATGAATAATTAAAGTATTTTATGTGAGACACCATACAGCTATGCGTAACTATCTTAAGAAAAAATAATTATTTAAAAATTCAAATGCAATTCCTCTGAATGATCATGAAGTAGTGTATAAACTGCATAATCTTTTGGAGTGGAAAGAGTGGGAAAGATGGAAATGAGAAAAGAAGACAAATATATTTAACTATGAATGTAAAGCTACTGAGGAAGTAGCACCACACACCAAAAATGTACTCTTCAGCAACTGAATCTAATATGCTGTGTGTGTAACTTTATATGTAAACATATATTTGAGGTCTGGGTCCCAGATGGAGTTGTCTGGATCATTACTCATGCACACCATCACTGTTCGTGAGAAACTACACGTGTAAAGACTGCTCATGTAATTAAAGGCTGCAGAATTAGAACCATAATTTCAGTTTGCGTGAAAGATCTAATCCACCATGCGTCTGTTGGATGTAGAACATTTCCAGTTTTAATGCTATCTGTAACCTAGTTTTGTGATTTGCTTTGATCTGTTGGAAATTATTTGGCATGAAGGTTACTATAAATTTTAATGATGCTAAATTACAAACCCTCACTGTTGAGATTTGACATTTATTCACATTTTGGACACAGTACTTGGAAAAGTGTACAGTTTATAATTTATTTTTTATTTTAGTTAGTAAGTGTGCCTATTCATTGTAATTCATGAGCTTAAACAATCTAAAAGCTTTAGAATTTGTCATTTTGAAAAAAGACAGTTTAAAACATCCTCATTAAACTCTTCATTTTTTGATACTTGCAGTTGTAACATTTGGATAAATATATTAGGCACTAAACCTGCATGGGGACAAAACATCTATAAGATGCAAGTTAAAGTGACTTCCAATAATCATATCCAAGTCACAGGGCAGTATGTAAATCAAATTAGATTGTGAAATAATGATGGACCTTACTTTTCATCTATAATTAACTTTTAAAGTGGTGTGATTCGCACTGATTTATCATTCAGCAGACATGCAATATAATTTAGCCTCATTTTAGGGCTGGCTTTCCTGAATAAAAGAGTATCTCAGATTTTGCATTCTTTCTGAACTCACTCTTAACATTATACAAAATTTTAAGTACCAATGAGATGAACTCTGCATTTCAGCAGAATATGTTGAAAAAAGAAATTATGTAATTTGGAGATGAATAAAAGCGTGCTTTATACTTAACCTAAATCTAGTTTGGCTTCAGGACATTTTCCATATTTGAGCTATCTTCAGCAACCAGCAAAGAGGACATGCATGCACATCTGCAGTGCTTAGGTTTTGCCTTTCTTAGTAGGAAATTGGGAGGAAGTAAAACAATGCTTTGCGTCCTAGATCTCTGTGCAAGGAGTTTCTGAGTGTCAGTCAGTTCATCCTCAGAACCTCGTATTCATCTGCTTCTGGAATCTTGCGTGAGGTGGTTCATCTCTATCATGAAATAATACTGAACTACTTTTTCAAAGACCGCGTTGAGAGGAAGTTCCTTGCAGATGGAGGTGCCTTCCATACCCCAGGACTGTCTGGTAAAATGCAGCAACAGGAGTGGAGAATAATCAATCCATCTTAATTGGCATTTGCATTTGGCTGTCTTCAGTCCCAAAGGACTGCCAGCAATGCTATAGCATTGATATAGCAATGCTTATAGCACTGATAAGCGATGCTATAACTACAACTATTTCTCTGCCACAATCCCTCTATTCTATACGTGCTTGAGGAAGCGGTGCATATGCCAGCCTAAACACACTACATTTTCACCCACGAAAGAATACTTATGAAACCAGATCTGCCAAATTTAGTACCGCTGTATAGCAGTACAGCTGAAGGAATTATCCAGGATATTCCGGCTTGTTGGCACCCTACTACTGGCAACTCTTCAGACCACTCTGAGTTAAAAAAATAAAAAAATAAAATAAAAATAGATGAGATCCTGTTTAGAAGCTTAGCAATACAATCTGCACTATTCTCTAGCAGATTTTCCTAGAAGATGTTGCAAAATAATGTGACATGACTACTTTCTATTTAAAATGCCTTCATACTATTATTATCTGACATAATGGATCTTAAATCTTTTAGATCGGCAATCATGCTTGTTGGACATTAAATCTTGGAAAACCTATATAGTTTATGAATATTTTACCACTAAAGCAACTTTTAGACAAAGCACATTCCCACAAGATGAATAATAAAATAAATGCAAAGGCAAACAAACATAACAAAAACTCCATGATTTGAGGTTCAAAATGTTTTCGTTTAGGAAATGGGAACAGCCATGTGCTTTACATTTCCATTGCCTAAGATGGTAATCACTGATGGGCAATAGTGGTTAAGCTAGTATGAAAAAAGAGGCCACAGGAAGTCCTGGTTTTCCATATGTATTTGGTTACAAAGAAAGGGGAGACTGAGGGTAAACGTGAGCACTGTCTGGCTGTATTGTAGCTGCTGCTCTGCCCCAGTTCTGTATAATCAGCTCAGTGGCTGACCTATTCTCTGCCGTCTGCAGCCTAGCATCGGGATGAACTTAGGATCCAGCTGTGTCTGTGCTGAATTATTTTTTTGCCCGTTGGTATATTCTGCAATCCCACTGGTTCAACTGCCTCTAAACACTTCAGTGATGGTTCACAGCTCATGAGGATTAAGTACATGCTCAAACAGACAATAAAATGCAGTGGTTGTCAGAGGCACGGGAGGGTACATGAGTATTTGCCAAACACAAATCAGCAGCA